ATAGCAAAGCATCCAGCTGTCTATTATTTCTAAACCTGGACAAAAGTCCTATCGATTGAATTTGATAGAATTACGTATGGTAGATAAATTTTCAATTCTGAAATATTAATTTCTTGAACTGTAGCCAAGTTATTTATAACTGTTGCTAGCTCAGCAGAAGATAAAGACGGTATGATATTTTATACTGTATAATATATTATGATGAATATATCAATTAAGGGACAGTTAATACTAAAAACTGTGTAATATTAAAACTAAATTAAAGTAGATTACCACTTAACTGGTAATACTTGTCCAATTAGTTATCGAACCTCAATTGTGGCGAAATTTGCAGACGCTCTACTTCATAGGAGTAGTATATTGGAAGTCTCGATAGCTATAAACTAGAAAGAGTATGCATAAAGCAGCGCAATTTCTACAAAATGATAAACGATTGAAATTATGTACGGAACTTCTGTTGGTGTTAACATCGAGTTCACTCAGTGCCGCAGGCTTTCTATAATTATTCATAAAAAAAGTTCCGTATATGTATATAATATACGAAATACATATACGTGTATACGCGTAAACTTCTTGATTCTACTCGTTATGTGATATCAGTAACTCAGTGGAAAGAATTAAGGTCCCATGGGAAATTGATATTATTTATTTGTATCACATATAAAGATATTAGTTAAAATCAATATGATAAACTTGACATTTGACACGACCCAAATGAAAAATATTGCCAAGTTTTTAGTTTATTTTAACACATACATAAGTGAGATAATTGAAATTTACCAACGTCATTGGTAAAAAATAGATTAATTATCATTCGTAAAAAATATTTACAATCAGGTACCCGTTTAGGCATTAACTGTACTCGATTGAAATTACTTTGTTTAAATAGATATATGTAAAAAATTAAAATCAAGTATTTCACCGATAAAATGATAACTAATATGTTAATTCACCAAAAATGTTCATACTCCTAGAAGTAAAATATCTCATCATGAATTTACTTACTATAACTATAATTATTACGATAAATGCTGTTTTTGGGGGAGTAGATTGACTTATGCTGTTATTTTTGCTACGACTGCCTAATACTAGAAAGCAATGAATAGCTATCCTGCTGAGGCTCATTTTATGCATTACAATAGAATTATTGAATGGCGCCATAACAAATGCTTAAACTGTTCCCTTGCATTTGAATTCGTATTAGGTGCTTGGGATAATTTTTAAAAGCATTTATAATCCTTGAACATGTGATTAACGCTATCCCTTAGCTAAATTAATGACCAGAGCATTAACTTTCGATCTTCCATGTTGATTTAGTTAAATCAAATTCCTTTCTGCTTTATCCGAGTTATTTATCAAAGATTTAGGGAAAATAACATGTTACGATGAATTTACCTAGCACTACTGCACTATATAAGGTTAAGTTAGATTATAGTGAGCAATTTTGGCTAACTTGGTGAATTAAAAAAGGATTATAAACAAACTTTTAAGCCATGTGATCGGAATCATAGTAATTTTCCTCAACATTCAAGAACGAAACTGTTTGTATCAATTGTGTTAAGTAATATCCCGTTTGTTAGTATTTATAACTTGCATCCACCTATCTATCTACCTACAAGTATAGTTATATAGATATGCCACGAAATCAAATGATTAAAGGCAATTGATCTGGATATTAAAAGTCGAGCCTGCCTTTCTTTCGAAGATATTCTGGACACTATTGACTGTTAATATTTATTGATATAACACGTCCATATTATTCTTCAACACCGCGTTGACCATTGTCAGTGATATTAGTATGCTAAGAATATCTTAGAATTCGAACAGCGTTTTCAATTGAAAAAGTAATGAATTGTATTCTACAATAATAATTCTTGCCTCGGCCAAGACAGTTGTTACTGATCCTAGATGAAAGCAATTAGCGTTTATTAAATGTTTTTTCAACGATTTAAAGTGATTTCGACAGATAATAGCTCAATTGAACTATTGTAGGCAAAAGTTAACCTATTCAATACAATACTTGTCAATGTTATATCTACTAATGACCATAACTTAAGGATTCTATCCGCGTAATAGACTGCATGATCTCTTTCCTTAATAGTAAATTATTGTCTAAGTGATGAATAGAATAAAAAACTATATTATAAGGGTACTATATGATTGACTAGATTTACGGCTAGAGGGCCTGTCGAATTGTTACGTTACGACAAACTGTAGATTCTTGCCAATAGCAACTTCCTTATTTCATCATTTGAACATTTTACAGTTCATTCTACTAATATAAAAGTTTACCTATTTTACAATTATATTTGCTAATCTGAAAGATATAGGTTCAACATATTGCTGAATATGACCCTTAGACTGATCAGGCTACTTGTTATTACCTTAGTCTGCTGCCATCTGAATCAAAAAGTGTCCTCGTTAGCAATCAACTCTAAAAAGCTCAACGGTATGAAAGCGGATAGAAATCATCGTATTATTAATCATCATATTGATGCACTTTAACGAGTATAATTTAGTCGAAGAAGAAAATTTTAATTTCATCACTCTATCATAGTTATAGATTATATACGCCATTGTTTCTAACCTGATAATATGGCATTTTACTAATTTTATAAATTTATTGCTTTTGATTTTCTTGTCCGCAAGTTGTGGTAATTAAAAACACGGCTAACAGTTCTTGTTATTTCAAGTTAAAATAGGGCTTTATGGTTCCAGCTCGTATACTGTAGCAATTAGAGTCAATAATTCTGCCAGACAGACATCATATAATATATTACTAGCTAGATATAAATTTCATCATAACAACCTCTAGAAGCAAATTAATTTAATAATTAAGCGGAAAGCTGTGATTTCGTAAAATAACAAGCGTCGCATCGCTAAATTTAGTAAAAATAACTTTTTGCAAAGAATAATTAATCCGAAATTATTTTCATTTCTCCTTTTATTTGGCCACAAACAAAATGAAATTATTTCGCATTAAGATTCCTTATAAGGTTATTAGCCATTTCATTGGCGAAAAAATACACCCGTAGTAAACCTATTTAAGTGCTTAGATATAACTAATTTTTAGCTGTAGTTAAAATCTATCTGTTCCTACTATAATGTAATAGGTAGAGTTAGGTTCTAGCAGAATTGCCCATTCTAAGTAATTCTTGATAAAGTGGGATATGGCTGTCTTTATCTTATTTAGCCCTTCTGTTGAACATAGTTATACGATTTAGTATTATTGATTTAGATTACATGTTGCGTCGATACTAAGGTACTAAAGTACTATAATTAATTGCGAACAAGTATAACAACTCCTGATAGGTTTAGGGAAGATTGTATTCAATAATTATATAATGCTCTAGTATCTTTGGGTTAAGAGCAAATTGCCATTTTTCTCTGTAAGGTTCTAGTTACAATGTCTCATATACAGCTCAGGGGAGAGTTTATTCGGCGCGATAAATAAAATAGGATTAGCTATTTGTTTAATCGTGTACTCAATTAACTGTACATATAGATATTTATTTCTGGTATAAGATAAAAATTACGTTCTCTTAACGCGATTAACTTTCATATTGCGAATATTTTTCTCAATTTCATTAAGTAAGTGTAACACGCGCCGTCTAAGCTAACATCTATTCGGCCAGAACACGTTGAGTTATCCAATGTTATGCCATTGTTAGATTAGCTTAAGTAACTAAAGAAAGTTTTTGTTGATATAGTCACGGTAAATAAAATTTAGCTTTCATTATTTAAAGCTTTTGAAATCCATAAGAGCGAAGAATTGATGTAAATTATTCTCTTCACAGGCTACGCATTTAATAGTAGGCCTTAAACTTGATCCTTAATATTATTCTTTGGTCTTAGCAGGTTTGCTTGAAATTTATTTTACCCATAACGGATTAAATTTCTTCTCTATTCAAATATTTATTTACTGGGTTAGGAAATGATCGCTTAATTTTATGTTCCAGTTACAGAAAAACAAACAAATCATGCCATTAAGTTGAATAAAACGATAAAAACATAAGTGAAGTCACTTATGAGCAATGAAAGGGTCATTCATCTTCTTTTATATTATTTTCTCCCGCTGTGGTAGACTTGAACCAATCATGTTATAAATGGCAATGCACAATTCATAAGACTAGAACTTCATTTATCCTATCATTGTCTATTTGATCAATGACGATTAATTTATAACGTTATGTTGCTAACAACAATAGGAGTCCTGAAATTAAGGTGTATACTTATGCAACCAATCATCATCTATCTCACGACCCTCGCAGTGACGAATTCATTCACATATTTATGAGGAAATCAATTTAACATTGATAGATGAACACGATAGCGAGAGGAATTTTTAGAACTTTTCTTTAACAAATATCATATAGTTTTAAAGATAAAAAATGACGATATGAACTTCTTAAGGTCTAGCAATAGTATAATCTGAAATTATGCCTGATGTAGAATAGAAAAGATACATGGAATATCTAGATGTGGGATATAGTAAATACTTTTTAACCGTATCTTTGTTGCGATTCATTCGAGTATAATGTTTGTGAAGCCATTTCATAGGAGTTTCAGGATCATTTAATCAATAACAATACAAATTTCTGATGAAACTAATAGAGGATCCATGAAAAGAATGCTTGTTAATTATATAATATTATTATTAATTCATTATATGCATATGAGATAAACCCTAAACCTGCTGAAAATCCAGTAGATGATTGTAAAGTTATTACAAATGGATAGAGCATAAGAGATGAATAGAAATTCCACAAAATCTAAAATTTGTAGAGCTATTTCTGGTAGAGATTTAATCTTTCTGCTGGCACATGGTCTGTGAGCTACTATTATAAACGAGATTTAAAATGAGAAGATGTCAAGCAAGAATAAATTTTAATTGAAAAATTTTTATGCGTGTTTTTAGAAATCATTTGTGGAGTATATAATGGATCAATACGGATAATATATTTAACGCTGTCTTTTCTTCTTCAGCTTGTAAAGTTAGCATGGCACATAGGTTTAATCAAACCAACATTGTTGCTTGTCGTGGGCCATGGGCTGGTCACATTAGCAATGCAAGTAACTTATGTGGAAAAGGATGGAATGTATGTAGTTGGAAAGAATCTAGTATGCTTAAACAGATTACTTGGAATGAAGCCACGACAATAGAAGGCTGTTATGCTTATGATGCATCACAAGATGGTGGAACTTGTAAACCATGTATTAGTGATCACTGGGGAAGTGATGATTTAGCCGCTGTTGGGAAATCATGTCAGCATCAAAATCTAATGTCAAAGTCCTGCATTGGTCTAGGTAAAATTGATGCTAGTTGTTGTGTTGATAGCTTACTAAGAAGAGCCTGTACTTATCGACCTGGGATTGCATCAGGGGTGTTATGCTGTAAAAAAGAAGGTACGAGAGATGAATCTACTTATCAAAAAGTGCACTAAAAATGTTTTAAAATTTTCATCCTAGTAAGCAATGTCTTAGCAATTATAAAATATAGTGTGCTGTGCAAGTTGCAGTATTTTTAACGCCAACTGTTCTTGCTATATCATAATACAATCATTTAATATTTTACGATGAATGATAGCTATACCATCACTTCCCCAAGTCAGAGTTATTGTAGATAAATCAAATTTTATCATTGGAGAAAATATTCTACTTGTTTGTCAAGTCAGTAATGCTAAAGGACCATTGAATATAGCATGGCTAAAGGACAAGACTTTAATTAAAGTAGAAGAAATAAATAAAAATTCGCAGTCCAAACTATCACTAAACAAGATTAATCATCATCACAATGGCGAGTATACATGCCTAGCGACCAATGATGATGGTACTTCTCAAGACAGTATCAAAATAAGAGCAAGTAAATAAAATGACTGATATGCTAATCACAGAAAAAATTTAATTCATTAATATATAATTCATATTCTATTTAATGCCGCGATTATTGGACTCATACCATTCTTAAATATTAAAATAGGAGGTCATCAGGGTTGTGCTGCTGGTGATAACCGTTTGCCAAGGAAATACTACAATATCTCAGCCTGTCCTGGCCGATGGAAAGGTCATATTAAAAATGGTGGTAATTTGTGTGGTGATAATTTTCAAGTCTGCAGTATAGAAAATGTTCAATCCTTAAATGAGATATCTTGGAAAGATTTATTCTTCCTAGAGGGCTGTTTTTCTTACGATGCAACTCATAACTCGAAGCAATGTTTACGTTGTAAGGAGACTGCAGTTATGGCTGGATTAGGTCGATCGTGCCAATATAAGCTTAAGCCAAAGGGGTGCAGCAGACATGGGTATTTATACTCTAAATATAGCAAGAAAGCAAAGAATAAGTGTACCTACAACAAGGGATCTACCACAGGTGTCATGTGCTGCAGAATTCCTTCTAAAAAGGAAGTTATTAAAGGTATCTATTGTGTGCTGGATTAAAATTAGAATTAATAACTGCAATTATATCTATTGATATAGAAGGTAAGATTTAGTTTTTACCTAAAAATGTGCGTTTAAACACACTTTTAACTTTTAGAAATTATTCTGTTGTAATTATCACATTATAGATAGCATATGTTATCCTGCTTGTCAAAATGGAGGATACTGCATCGATAGGTATAATTTATGCGTTTGCAAATTCGGCTATCATGGAAATGCCTGTCAATTCAAGTATGTTTATAAATTAATTATTTGATGATAATGCTTATACTGTACCATGTGCATTTAATTGTAAGCATTTAGGTCATTAATTGCAACTTATTTTTTTACTAATTATAGGAACAGTGCATAAGAGTATAATGCATATTAAAGTATCAGGAATATATCGACTTCCTAGTTAATTGTAATTGCCTAAAATTGTCAAATGTTAAACAATCGCTAGAAAAGTAATCATCTTATGTTCTATCACTCACCGTAGATGATCATCTGCTTTTACATCATCATGCTGTTTACATAACCTATTATCGCTGATGAATTATATCATACTAGAGTTTTGCCTAAGGAATATAAATAATTAATGGCAGCAATTGATAGAGCTAGTGCTATATCTTTATAATGAAAATAAGCCTGCCCTAGTGGATGTTTTACTTACTCCTCGCATTATTGTTATCAAAACTTAGTAAGCACACGTACCATATCATTTCTTAGGCAAATTATGATTTTCTTAGCAACCAGCATTTATAGTAGATTACTAAGTACAAATAAATGGGTGATTATAATTATCAGTGAAATATATTCTCACATACTAAAATACCGTTATCCATAATACAACTGGATTCATATTAAAAGTACAGTATTTTATTTATCAAGAATGGAATATAACATTATTAAAGCTATACTATTCTCATTGCAACGTTCGTTTGCTTGCTGCATTTAAAAATATATTTAACTGGCCTATTAATCAGGAGATCTGATAGCGTATAGTTTATCAATTGGTCTATATTATAAAAATTTCTTTCTATTAAGTTTAATAGCATTTTACTGATATATAATAATTAATTCTAGTATGCTTTAAATAATCTATCGTATCTACGTAACATAACTCCAGCATGGTATATAAGTACTCTGGATATTAAAGGCAAACTTACAAGTAATCAAGTATAGGCGTATTTTAAAAATATTTTGTAACAATATTATCTTTTTAATAAAGTAACATCTTTTAATTGATATTTACATTACAGTCATTTAAAATTATTTTACCGCCTAATGAGATGATAAATTAATAATACGAAGTAGCTATTAATGACAAGGGCAGCGCCGTTTTAAGATTCACTGGGTTGTATAAATGTAAAAGGGATTCGCGGCTACTTTTAATTTCTTATTATTTTTCTGTAAGATTCGTTACCAAAATTCTGATCGTTGGATTATCCATCTTTTTCCACTTATGATACTTTCAAAGATTTAGGTGTATTATTAAAAATATATCCATGAGTGGGTAAGCTAAAATTGCAATCGTTTAATTTCTGGCACTTGCGCGTATACCATTATTTGCTATAAAATTAAATTCATTGAAGATGCAGTATAGTATCTGTGACATTCGACACAAGATTTGCAATAATGACTAGAATATTGTAAAAACACAAGACAACGTTACAATGTTCAGAAATCTCTACAAACAACCGTATCATCAAATGATCTAACAATTCTTTATTAAAATAATCAAAGCAGATCGATTTTAATTGAAAACAGTACGGAAAAAGCTGAACTGGTATTTGCACATTACGCAATTATCATAAATTACGGACAGCTTATACTAAAAGTTGACCGTAGAATGTAATAAGTAGTACACTTCGTAATATATTACAAATACGCACTGAAGACGAGCAGAGAAGGCGCACAGGTGTTTTACTAATCTCTATTTGTGCCGAATGATGAGATCACAATCAACTTCATCCAATAATTTACATAATTGTATTGCAAAATCTGTAATGGATTGCCCAGTATTTACATTGGGATAGCTAGGCTAATAATATACCATTTTAAGCAACATGATTACGAACATTGAAATTCTCAGCTACGTACTATTCAGAACCAAATCCAAGTGGATCTTGGTCGATATTGAAGTAAAATAAGTAATATATAATTTATATCTACCGCTGAATTCGGTATCATCGAACACTGCTCAATAACTTAAGCTTTAGTTTATGTAGAAAAAAGCAGTAGAATAAGACAAAATTAAAGCTTTTGCTTCCTCTTCTTTCTTGTTGGTGTACTCGATCGCTTTTCTGTCGGCGTTGGGGAGATTGATGGGGAATCTTGTGGGTTCCTTAGATAGTCAGGATCAAAATCTAATAAAAAGTTGTAAAGATTATTTGGTGCTTTTGTAGTGAGTAGTTAACATTTAGGGAACATATGTAATAACAGACCAGTAACTGGAGGGATCTTTAGCTGCGCGTGCGCTAGGGCTAAATTTGCCTGAACTATTGGCTTAGTAACAAAAACATTTATATCACCTTCCTAACGAACAGAGGTTTTACCCAGCATAAGTGCCTCAAGTTGGCTATACCTGTGGAGTTGATACAGTTCGACAATCGGAATTCTCTGAGTTGAAAGAGCTATTATCATTATCAGTTAAGGATAATCTACCATTATACCCATGGCGATTTTCCTATGAATAAAGCTAATTTTTAGTAGATAGCTTCAAAAAATTTTTAACATAATTGCGGTAAGTGCTATAACAAGAGCATTTCGTTAAACAGTTTTCCAGCTGTTATGAAATATAATGTTAACTTAATGGAAGCGCTTCCATAACGTAAATTTATGGTATACAAATCACCTTGGGTTCTGTTATTAAGCTATTCTTGGCTGGAAATACAGAAATAAAAGATCTCAGTTCAGTCGAATTTTGCAAAAAAATACAATTAGATAGTAAAAGATGAAGTTTTTAAGTCTTACCAAATTTAGATTTATGAGCCATATTAGAGATTGGGGAAGATCTTAATACAGATTATTAAAAACATAAGTTAATAAACAGTTATTAGATATTTCCGATTATTATTTTAAAATTTGCATGCTTAATAATTCATCTTTTCTCTTACTTAGAAATTTCTGCAAGAAGCTCAGAGTCATTCGATCGTCTATGAAATGATAAGCATGGAATGACGAAAGAATTCAATGATACGGGATAATCGATCATGAAGTGCAATCTTACTCAAATAAATTTTATCATTATCAAGTGCTTGTCAGTAATACAGTATAACGTTGAAGACACAGGGAGAAATTACCTTCGCTTAGCACTTTTTTGAGAGGTTTCATTGCTTTCATTATTACTTACTTTTTCTCTGTTATTCTGATCCTCCTATGTGCATGTAAAAAAATTTATAATTTTCAACGAATTCTTACATTATGATTAAATAATATTATCAAAATTGAGTTAGGTTTGTAGTACCAACAAGCGTTTACAGTCACGCATCAGTTGTACATCAAGAGCCTGTAATTTAGTGTTATAACGTTTGACATCAGATTGCCAATCTTGAAGAAGGCTTGGAATTCCATTTATTCCGATCTGATATAGAACTTGCTCAAATGGATTCTATTTCACATAGAATTGTTGTTATTTAAGTGACGAAACGTGGATATTTGCTTTCCAACGGTAAATTTAATACTCACATTAAAAGGACAGGTACCAGTTTCCTTTTCGTAATCTACATTATATCTTAGTAGCGTACAAAGTTTTATCATTTGCTCGTGCATTATGTCTGCTATCACCTCCAAGCAAGATTGAAACGCAGCTGTTTTTGGTAATAGATACAAAAAGAAACGGAGAATGGAGCGAGATTAGCTACTAAGGGTAGAAAAGTCATAGAGCGGTTTAAGAAGGGCGCTAGGCACTGATGAATTTACTTTCATAACCGGCATGCGAACAAACAGAGGCTGCAGCTTTGATCATTAATTGACGGACAGTAGCAGGGTCAAGTTCTGTACAAGCTTTACTATTGAAAAACATTTGCAAATGCACAATGAGTTATGATTCGGTTGAAAAATTTTTTAGATCTAAATATTGCATATTAAAACTAGATTAAGTTTAGTAAAGCTTTAATCACAATCAACACTATGAAAAGACTACAATAGTACTATATACTATGCATATCTGCAGTATATAAATCAGTTATTTATTATTTGATATAAGGTACTTGTTCCTAATTTGCGCAACATGACCATGATCGAAAATAGTACGCTTTGAGCCAACGGCTAGCTGAGACGCAGAGGTGGCAGTTATACCATAACGGTCAGGTGGATCAGGTATTGTTGCCAATTCTTTAGAAGGATTGATCGTCTTATTATCCATGTTATTGACAACTCCATTATTATCATTAGTATTATCAGATACAGAGGATGAGCCAGGAGCTTCTGTTGGTTGATGCTTCGCGAGTATTTGATTCAATGCTCGAATATGTTGCATAAGTTCGATATTATGCAAAACTACATTGTGGCCAGCATTAGTTAATGGTGGTTTCACACCACTAATTTTCTCTTTCGGTAGACTAAATGTCATATAATGCGTATAGTAAAGTGATAGATACAATGTTAGATATCACATATTACAGATGTCTTATATCTACTATAAAATTGAAAAAATCAATACAGTCTTGAGTATAATAAATCTTTGCTGCAGAGTTTAATTAGTCCTAATTTTGTGGTTATATGTACAGTACGTTGTTGGGGATCTGGTCAATCCATTACTATGTTACTTAATTGCAATTTAAATGCAGCAAGATTGTTAACGTTGCGATGGATAACCGTAAACCGTAGTAGGAGGGATTACGCCTTTGTCACTTTAGATAAGACAACTATAACATTCCATTGGTGATACTTTGCGTACGTATATTATATGTACTGTTTGGACTCGTAGATCTACTACTGTACGATATTATTGCTGTACTTCAAATCGAACAGCTAGTATGAATTCAAGAGAGATGTAGCAAAACAACAGGATCATCAATTAATAAAGTACTCGATGACATTAACTATCGCATTGTTTTTGCATTCGGCTAAATATCATCACAGGCTTGTTGAATTATTTTCTTAGAGAGAATATTTACTAGCGTAGCTAAAAGCTATGACTTTGTTAGAGCATATTTGCAATATAACTCTAATTCTAAAAGCACATGTTGTATCAGTATCAACCGTATCCATTAAGCAAAAATGCTATGATCAGTTAAATGTGGTCATTATTTTGAAGATATCGTAAAAAACTAACTGATGCCTTAAATAAGGTAAGTAGAATGATAGTGTAGAAACGATTTAAGAGTAATTCAATGACATTTTGGCTTGTCAATCTTTCATTCATGAGGTAACTAACTGCAATACTGAATATTGTATAAACACCAGCATTTCATGCAGGCTTGTACAGCTGATTGCCATTAATAAGATACCATTTAAAAGTTGTAGTTAATGTCTTAGAGAGATACAATGCTAATAATTTCTAGAATAGTTCGCTATAAAATTCTCGTTAGCAGGTAACTTGCATTCAGCCATGGGCAAAATGTGTATACTACCGTATACGTAGAGTAGTTTATTCTATGCATCACTAAGCTAATTCTATCATTATAATTGGTTATGATACAGAATTATTCCGACTATGTATGCTATAGTCCATGCGCTCGTTTAATGGTAACCAGGACTACTAACAATATTTCAAGAACAGAAGTATCGTTCATTATGATACACTGGATATTTCTATCAGGATGACCTTTTGAAACCAGTGTGCATAATATATATAATAAATATTGTGCACTACAGAGTGTGCCTTCTGACGTAGCTAGAATATCATCCTATTTTCGAATTGTTTCATTACCTTAGCTTAGGTGGATGATGAGATGAAGATGGTTGCTTAATTGGAATAGAGTCTGCTCGAAGTCGTCCAATATCGTTGATTGCAGTCGGTTCACGTTCAATGACATCGTTTTCATCTTCGAATTCTCCCCATTTCCTTGTCGCCATTTTTCCTTTCAACTGTAACGATTTGATTAATACCAATGGTAGGAGTTCTATGCTATATTGTTGGAATCGCTGATGAAAGTTTTTAGCAATTTTGGCAGCTTTGTACGATTAATACCACTGAATGTATAATATGATGTAATAAATAGTCAATAATTTCATTTAATAGAATATAGCAATCATGTCTCATTTAGAAATAGAACCTTTTCAATCAGTTAATTATGGCCATCCTACTGTATCTCATCGATAAAGACAAGTCGAGAATGTGGAAACCATCGAGGCCATTCCAAATTTAGGAGACTAAAAAGGAAGGTACTGCACCAAACTAATGATAGGGTATACTGCTGCGTATCCCTATTCGATGGAGTTCTGGATTGTACTGTATAGAGGAGGAATTCAGTGCGTGCTTGTATTTCGACTATGGCGCCAGATAGGTCTCCAGTCCCAGAACTCATTCTGCCCTGAATTCCAGCTTACAGACGGACAGCAATTGCGGACGCTACCGTACTGCACAGTAGCTGCAGTTGTGCTACTGCAGTACTAGTAAAAGATGTTGTGCAATACTGTACTGTATATTTAATATATTTTAGAATACTCGTACAACAACTAGATAAGGTACCTTGAAGGCGAAAACTTTTAAAACTTTTACTATGGCCGCCTATGAATTACTAAATATTCAGTGATCTATACATCTTTCTTATATCGAAACAAACTTCATCTACAGTGCACGTTTCCATTATTAAAAGTGTAATATATATCCTACTGCATTAATGTGATTTGATAGATTACGAGTATAATTACATAATTACGAGTGCGCTGCTGATTTGGTACTTTTAAATTAAATTTATGGCAAGTAGCTTTTCTCGCATCCCGAAGCGTGTCCTCTATATAACAGATCGAAATTTTGATCTCTTTATTTCGTTAAAGGCTATACTCAATAGACATAGCACATTTAGTAGAGAAACTAAAGCTAGTCATTTCTTGTCTGGTAGTAACATGGTAAAAATATACTGAGCATAATCATGATCAGTATAATGATAATTCTACACTACATTGAGCGTGCACGTTCTAAATTCGAAGAAAACTAGATAGAATGAGTACTAAGTTGTGAAAGTCTAAATTCGCTCTCTCTGGGATCCAAATCACTCGTTTGTTATGATTTTATCATGGTAAGTACAGGGTAGACCGTAATCGATGTCGTCACAATTTGGATTTCCAAAAAAGCAATGATCGTAATTTAGTAAATACTAACGGACTTATTTGATCATTAAGTTACGGACATTAAGTATTAATCACATTCCGTTCCAAATTCTTGCTGTCACCAGCCTAAGGCTTATTAAGGCATAAATTTTCAAGATCGGTAAAGATAAAGATAGCACTTGCTACATTGTAACGTTTACTATAAAACTAAATACCATAACAAAAAGAGATCCGTCAAAGTGTCCCTTATGGTGTTGCAGACTGCATACGTATCTAATCATCATGCATGGTTTTTAACAATTAAAATTGTCAATGCAGTAGATTTAATTCCATGTAATCAAACATTTACTGACAGATTGGTATCTCTGCAGGATATCGTAACGACAATATAGTTAAAAGTGTATAGTCTGCTTATCTATAATCAATGCTAAGACTTTTTTAATTAACTGAAAATCGAAGCAACCTTAGAAATGTGGTACGTTGTATAAACGCAAGAGCCATACATAAGAACTGTAATTTATTTACAAAGTATATGGTATAAGCAATGTATACTTCATGTTCTTGAAAGAGCAATTAACAAGTGAGATCATCGATGATAACTAATCAATTAAATCGTACATCATTGAAAGACACCGATTATATACTGGGTGGTAGGAGGCAATAACAACTATCACTGCTACCAGGAGGTATTTAGCTCCTAAGAGTCATAATACAGTGGCAGATAGAATGTTTTAACTATATGCTCTATTTGACAGTTGATTACGAGGCTTTACTTTTTTTCTTTTTCTTCTTCGCACTTTCGCTAGGATCGCTATTCTCTTTAACGACTCCTGTAGATAATTCTTCTTCTTTTTCGTAACCGTGTCTGCTTCCTTTACGTCTCCTTGATCACTTTTTCGTTTCTTTTTCTTCGACTTTTTCGATTCATCATCTACTACGCTATCTGTAGGTTCAGCAGAAGTTGATATTTCCATGTCACTACGGTTTTTTTCTTTACTTTTCTTTTTCTTTTTCTTTTTTTCACTGGAGGGCGTTTCAACTGTATTTTTGGGAATATCCTTAGACTCTTGAAGGGAACTAACTTCCTGTAGAGCTTCACGCATTACATCCACGTTCTTTTTTGGTGCTTCCCCGCTATCATAAAATTTAAGCCTGTCTTCAACCTGTTCTCGCAATTTGTTTCCGAAAACTGACGAGGTTGTTTCTATAGTCATGCAAACACGCTGTAAGTCTCTAATGTTTGTGGCACAAGACTTGACGTTGAGAAAATATACAACTATTTCTTACATACCCGTAAAACAATCTATTCTTGAAGCAATGGAACATTTGTTTGCTAAATATCTGGAAATACGACCTTTATTTTTCTTACTTGCACGACCAATAAACGACGAATGAAAAAGTAAGCCATACTTGGGGGTATTGCCTCGAGTTTTTAGAGCCCTAAATTGTTTCCAATGTATAAATTCTAAGTATCATACGAATTGCTTTTAACATTTATTCCTAAATATTATATATATCGCTACCGAAATAAAGCCTTTTCTGCTCCTAAAATTTGTACGGTAGATGCAGGATATTTTGCTAGATTTGACAAACTGCCCGCATGAGAAATCAGTCTGGCACCGACCTAATTTCGTCGAAAATAATAAAGTCGCAGTGATAAGAGATCACGAAACCAATCTATCGTGAACTACGAAATGAAGAAAGATGAAATCGTTATCACTACGCTAAGCTTACCAATTCACCAACTAAACATGACAGATTTGGAGCTATATTTTCCATTTTCTGCTTCAAATATTGTAACAAAGCCGAGCGATAATCTGCCAATTCAACGACTCGATTGGCAAATCTTTCAATATTTATTAAATCAACAGGAGAGATATCCATGCCTAGAGTATTGTATATCAGAAGCTATAATTTCCGCAATAGGTATCACTTGTGTAAAATACAATCAACATGAATTCCATCTCGTACCCATAGAAGAACGTGAAGCATCTAAGATTGCTTTGGCTTGAGCCGAATCCATAGTGATTTCTTCGATCGTAGGAATACTTGCATCAGTCAACTCTTTGCGGTTTTTTATTAACTTGACGAGTTTTACATAGATGTAGTTATCGCTAACAATTTTGATCAGTTCAGGAAAATGATAGGAATACCACTCCCTAGTACAACATTTAGAGCATCATTTTTAATAATTCTATAAGCAAAGATATGCAAATGCTATAGCCTAAGTGCCAAGAGGATCGCAATACAAACGAACACTGCAGCTGTATTTCGATTATTGTCAAAGGATTGAATCATTACCTGACTCTCATCGAAAAAGTGTTGATATCTTTGTCCATTTGATCAAGTAGATTGATGGATTGAATAATCATGTTATCGACGCGATTAACATTAAACTTGACCTTAGCACGAGAATAGCTATGACCTAAGCCAAGTTGAGCTTTGCCAGCGCTATCTGCCGATAATCCTTCAATAAATTTATGAAAATGGACGCGAATGCCACGAATAAGTTCCAAGACAAGTTCGCCGCTCTGGCAAGATAACTTTACAGACTCTTGCACGGCGGAAGCAAGTTTAGAGTCGGAAATTCCGAGTACAACTTTTGTCTTCTTCTTACCGACAGGAATATTAGCCAGTAAAAAGGCTTTCAAGTCATCATGTGCTATACCTGCAACACACAATAAACTAAAGTGTTACAGTAAAACGCATAGATATAAAGTTGATGAAGTATATCTGCTTCAATTGAAAGATATTTTATCCTGCTCTCGTAATTAATTATCGATTACTTTGTTATCCTTTAACACTGTAAAGCAGCAGATTGTACAATACATATTATGCAAGCTGCAAATTATCATGAAGGACTGCTGAAAACGTATCGATACTGCTTTCTATATCTGCAACGAGTGTAGCGCATACAGCATGCTTGGAAACTCAATATTAACACAATGGTACTAGTATATTGGCGTGAAAAAATAGACGAAAAAGTGAGACCGTAAGGTCGTTGAATGTGTTGTAAAGTATTAATGCAATCTACAAAGACGAATGAGTCAACTGTATATCGAAAACGCGTGTAAGCAGTAGATTATGATATTGCATAAAATAGTGGGCTGGGCAGGGGGAATTTTATAAGGGTTAGCAATGTAGCACCAATGATAGGTACTGCGCTTCAAAGTTTCTATATGCAAGATTACTGTGTGCAAAGTGAAAACTGATTCAAATTAGCAGAGGGTATTTGATAGTTTACCTTCAGAAACGCTGTTAATATTCTCCAGTGCATTGCTACTAGACCTAAATGGTGTAAAGGCTACTAATTTGATCAGTTTTCCAAATCGTCCTAGATCTAAGATCGATTCTTGAACTTCGGCTGTTAAAGCACCGATTTCCTCTTGAGCCAGGCTTTGAAAAATTGCATACCCCGAGGCATGCTCAAATAACAGGTAAAGTACCTATTCGATCAATCAATTTTTTTAAGTCCACATCTAACCCACTGGTTATTTTACATTCAATCCAAATTATAGCAAGTATGAACGAGGAATAATGCTCTTACCATATTGATCTAAAGAGGATGTGAACTTGGTGCGATATTCTTGCAACCTAGTTCTCCAGGACGCCGACGTCTAAATACACCTCGTGTGCGTTTTGATTGAACTTACAAATAGCTGACTGACCAGTGACCAATGGTGATGCGTCCCATGGCTGCACAGTGCACATTGGTAGTGATCTGTGTAGTGGTACAGTACAGTTTAGTGTCGTTCTGGGTAAAGTAAACACAGTATAGTCACTACAGTACTGTGTTGTACAGTGTACAGTACAGTAGAGTAGAGTATACTGTACTGTATTGCAGTCACGCAGGTTGAAGAGAGCGGAGTACAGTACGTACTGTACTGTACTGTACTGTACTGTACTGTACAGTACACTTCAAACCATAGAGATAAAAGTTTTTTTCACGGGGTTCAGTACAGTACTGTCGCTCGTTACATTGCACGGTATACAGTACTGCGCAAGCGTGCATGTCCAGTACCGTACAGTACGGTACAGTGTATAGTTTACAAGCTCAAGTACTGTAACCGCACGATTAAAACTACAGTACACGGTATAAAGTTACTGAACCTCTGACACAGCCACACAGGTCTATCAAATGGTAATACAGTACTATCTGTTAAATGAGCACATTATCGTAAACCGTCAGCAAAGCGACGGGAGTTTGTACTAGTACTTTTGAATACTGTACTGTAGATAGTTTTAATCGCGAAATTATACACTACAGTACTGTATGCCAACCACAAATTCACGGTACTGTACAAGTGTACACTGTACAGTAAGCACTTCGTCACCACTAGTGACGACAGTAATTTTTTGGAATGCAGGCGGTCGATTTTCAGTTGACTGATTTTTTTTTCTAAATTAAGTAATATTACCTTGAATCTTATTATCCGTTATGCTTGGAAATAGTTATAGAATATTGCAGATGTTATAATAGTACTAGACTAGTGATTTAAAAAAAAAACAGAAGATCCATACTAAGTAGGTACAGTACTTTTGGATATTTACGGCCTCATTTGGTAAGAAAAGCCCAGCACGTCTGTCCGAAGGGAGTGATCACTGACTGATCACTCCCTTCTAGTTCTAGGCCAGGTCTTCCATTCAAACACTCCCTTCCAGTTCTAGGCCAGGTCTTCCATTTAGTGTTCTATGATACTGTACTGTAAGATTACAGTATAAGTATGGTCAGCAGTCCCCAGAGATCATAGCCGACTGGAGGTCTGAGGGATACATACCATTGATCACGACAGTGGCTAGATGAACATTATGTAGTCAAGGTATAGATACAAATCATGATACGAATTCATTGCCAAGACATAGAAGAAGTTTATTCTCATTTCAATTGAAGATCGCTATTATATACGATCATTTTATGCAGGTGTACTAAGAATTCGATGGGTATATTATACCTTCTATCGAAACTAGAGCCTTCAACTGTATTGCGATAACCTCATGATACAATATTTGTCACTGCCAATTAATTAGAGCAACAAGTTTTAATGAATAATATGTTGTATACATACAGGAATACCCTAGCACGTATTTACAGTATCACAGTATAGTATTGAGCCGCCTTGAAGCCAGCATGATAACATACAATTGTATAATACGCCTACTATGCACTTCTAAATAATATCAAACGTATGCAGTATATCGCAGATTAATTTATCGATGGATATTTCTTAATCGTACAACTTGGTTCTCAACTAGAAATATCCCTCATCATTATCACTATTTGAGTAACAGTAACACAAACAATAAATAATAGATATCTTAAAATCACTTTTGTGCTGTTAAGCAGATACGTGCCCAATGCTCTTGTGAAAGTGCACAATGAAGTAACCATCTATTCCAGACCATAGTTGATGCTTAGCTAGAATCCTCATTAGAAGTAATGCTGGTAGCATGACAAGCTGAAGATGGTTGCAGATAGGATCTATATGCTGGCCATCGACATAGCGGACATCTGCAGGTATTGATTGTTCCAATGCTTAGCCATTGTACTATGCAGTCGTGATGAAATACGTGACTGCATGGCAAGCAACATAAGTAATCGTCATTAATGTAATTAGTCAAGCATATAGAACATTGATTGTCATCACAATTGTAATCTTGTTCACTAGTTATATTTTCTTCAAGTTGAGCTATTTCAGTGTTGTCCGATTTCCAATTCAATTTTTCTTTCCATGTTGGATGATTGAATCGGATTTTATCACCATACGTAAACGTTGGAAGAGATTGAATGTAATCCATGGGAACCAATGGCTGAACGTATAATTTTGGAATCGCAAAGTGCTCAATTAATATGTCTATTCCCTCTTCAATATCTTCCCTACTATAGCGCTCACAGGCACTGCGATAGGTCAGAATTGAATACAAAGAGCTCTGATAACTAGACAACGACAGGTAATTACATGATGCCATGGATTCTGTGCCAGAGATCTGTCCTTCTTGACATTCGATCCAGTAGTATATCACAGATGCAAAAATAATAGACTCTGTCAAGAGCATGAATAAGCAGCCAGGATGAGTTAAATGAGTGCTACGTCTAATTGCGGCAACGAAATCAGTACCCATAAGGCAACGCATTACCATCATAGTCAAGTCATAGACTATGTGCATCAATGGTGATGTAAAAAAATTATACATAGGGAACCATAGTAGTACTACAGCAAAATTATATTGACAAAATAAAATAATAAATTTTAATAAACAAGCCAAAAAGGTTCCATCGATTAATAACAATTTGAGAAGGCACATCAAATTAATACCAATTACGATAGCAACAAATATGTCATTTGTAGCCGGATACAGACTAGTTAAGAACTCGTGCATACAATGATAGCCATAATATTCACCATGTCTGTTACCATACGTAAAGTTCTTTTCAGGTGTAAAAATGCGATAGGTTGGTAGCTTTTCAACATTGAATTCGTTAGCAAATAAATTTTGGATGGTATCATTAATTGTTTTGATAGTCACCATACTAAAATTAATTCTGCCGCTAAATTTGATTGCTAAGCTAGAAATAAACGTCGGGGCGACTGTTAGTGTAGAAAAGAGAATAACATGAATACCGGACTGTTTCTTAATCGTTTCACGAAGTTGTGGGAAATTTCGCGTCGAGAAATGATTGATGTGACTATTCAAGTGATGACGCATCCATATTAGAATTGAAGAGCTATTAGCATTAGCTAAACGGCCTGGATAGTAAAGTATTCCCTTCGACCAATCGCTATCGGAAGCCGTTGTGCGAAGTAATAATATATCACTTTTTGTCCAATTATTCTTTCTACATATAGTAGGACAAGTTCGGCAGCGAATTGTTCCAGACTGAACTCCCAGAGTGTATAACTTGGGAACAACATCATCCCATAAATTGTCTACCAAAATATCTTCCTTTGAACTATTACGAGTATCAATTCGAAGCAGCCATATACCAGGGGTATTATCCTCTATTTCTGCTCTAAGGTAGTTTTCGGCAGTAAAATTGATCGCTTCTCTCTTTTTACTCTGCGCCATTATTATTGCCGATTGCCATTTTTCTTCCTCACTCATTAATCCAGAAGCATTAACCATATAGGATAAATTTGTTCTATCATGTAGATTGAGATCAGAGACACCACGATAGTCTATTATTTCTATTAACTCTTTCAAGTTGAAGGTAGCAGGATCCAATAGTAGGCGTGCCGCTTTATCCCCAACTTTCCAGAGTTGGACATTCCAATATTTACAACTAAGTAGTACACAGATTAAATAGACGATGAGCAATATTATTTTAATAGCTGTAAGAAACCAACCAGCAGTCATTTTGGATAACCGATTACAGTTGGATAGACTTTAGGTTATGCTAGTCAATTCATTGGGTATATAGTTAAGTCGTTGAAAGCACGGCTTTAGGGTTATAAACAGTAAACAAAAGCGCAAAAAATGTCGTCACCTGACACAATTAAGTCCACAAGAGATCGTCTATGTCTGGTTCATCCGCTGCTCATGCGTGAGTCCGCTCGTCGGTGTTTCCATTTCTGACTATGCTGTACTGTAATGCTTAGCTCGAAGTCTGAAGCATGTTTTCATCTACTGTAGCACCACCACATCGACTTCCAACGTCTAGTCTACAGACGTTCATGGTCTGGACGTCTGGAACAGAGTGGGAGAGGATCGCGCATTTGATCTCTAGCTACACTTGGAGTTTGGAGTGACATTTGACTCGACTTTGCGATACAAATCATTGACAAAGTCTGTCTGTCTGTGCACCTAGTCCTGTACCGATTACCACGAATTGTGATACTGTACAGTGTACAGTACAGTACAGTACAGTTATGCCAACTGCAAATTATACTGTACTGTACAGTACTGTAGATTCTCGGGCGTGACGAGTTAGTACTGTACAGTACAGTACAAACTCGTCAGTACTGTACAGGGCAGTGTACTGTACACTGTGGATGCAGTAAAATCGCTCAACCAGTAATGACGCCAAACTATTTTGTACTGTACTGTACTGTGTTTATTAACTAAATTAAAACAACGCATTTTTCCTACAGTCATTACTCGTCCTCTTTCAAGTTGGTTCTTTCAAGTATCGAAAGGAAAGAGAATCTTTGGTGATATGATAGCCTTTTAAAGTATCGAATGGAAAGAGAATCTTTGGTGATATGATAACCTTTTAAACTATCGAATGGAAAGACAATCTTTGGTGATATGATAACCTTTTAAAGTATCGAATGGAAAGACAATCTTTGATGATATGATAACCTTTTAAAGTATCGCTTCCTGTACAGTCTTACCAATTCATTTCTTGCCTTTGAAGTTAGCGTTGATTGATTTTATCTTTACAATTGATACCCAATTACTGATACAGTGGATTACGGGCAAATAAATTGAAATTGCCACTTCTTGCATAAATTGATTTTCAATTAGACATGGGTCTCTGCTATTTCAAGTTCATTATCGTTATCTTGACAGTTTTATCTATGGCGTCAATAGCATCATCCTATCCAAGAGATGATGTTGTTGCCCATATCGAAGGTACTAGACCATTAGTCATCATCCATGGTTTATTCGAATATTCCTCTAGCTTGTCCAGCCTGAAACACATGATCACCAAAGCTTTTCCGAAGATACAGATCTATATACCGGATTTATTTCCTGGATATTTTAGTGTATGGACTCCTCTATGGAAACAAGTTGAATCATTTAATGAATATCTAAAACCAATTTTTGCTAATACAACGAAGAATGGTATTAATCTACTATGTTTTTCTCAAGGTATTTCATCGATAGTGAATATATCCATATAATAAACGGTTAAGCGTGGTATTATAGTAATACTTTCTGCTATCAAGCGCTGAAAGCATCGATTTTTTTTTGGGGGGGGGGGCTGTCTTAATGAACTCCATCAAGTAATATGTCATGACTTACGTTATGTCATGGACCTCTAGGGGTTGTAGAGGTTCAGAATTGTGGCTACAAATCTATAGTCTTACTTTGTTAAAGGGTTACAGTGTTATTGTTGATCGACTGCTTTAAGGATTTAAGGATTTCTTCTCTTGTTCTATGCTACATGTTGTTGACATAAATTACCCATTCATAGCGCGAATTGATTTATTGAATCCAAAAGCTCCATTTGAAATGTCCATTAAATAAAAATAATCATTTTGAAATACATGTAACAATATGGTAATTAATGATATCTTTATTGAATAACATTGATAGGCGGTATAATATGCCGTGGTATACTACAAACAGCGTCCAACCACACCGTTAGAAATTTCATTAGTCTGTCGGGGCCTTTGATGGGCCAATTTGGTGGTAAGAATTTTAAAATAATAGTGACATGGGTTGTTAATCTCTCAACCTCTGATACTAAAAAATCGTCCACAGCGATAGTATATTAATAATTGTTATCTTTGATTTACGTATGCTATCCTTATATTTTACATGTTTAGTAGTAAAACTGATAAATAGGTGGATAGGAATATATCGACGCTTTATTTTTCAAAAATATGTTACAAAGTTAGACTAATTTCCGAAATGCTTCTGTTTGTATTCAGCTAATGATTAATCTTCTTATTTACTGTATAGAAGAAATAGTAACTATAAAGTGAATACAGTATATTGATTTGTATTAATTTAATACTAATCATGTCAACCATTTTTCATTAGATACATCATACGTAAACAGATTTCTGCCCCAGAATCTACGGCATTATGTTCGAGACGATATTTTCGAGTAAGGATTGCAGATCGGCCGATTGCAACTACATGCATTCATGATTGTGATGAGCTTTCAATCGTTTTATTCATGTCTCATTAACGATGAGAGATTCGAATTTTCATGCTGTATGATAATGCGACTGAGATTAACATACGTGTACGCGAATAATAAATTTTATTTTAGAAGACGATAGATTATCATACAGTACCACAGATAGATACGTTGACGTCTATAGAGCTTTAATACATAGTAATATTGACTGAATTTTCACCTATCAATTGATATACATATTTGTTATGATTTACAGAATCTTTTACAGTATATACGGACAAAAACTAATTTCCATCGCTAATTTTTGGAATGGTAAAACTTAATTAGTGACTGTGCTATAAAATAGTAGACAATTTCTTCTCTTTCGATCGTGTATTCATTCTTAAATGAAATACTCTTGCTGAGTCTTACAACTTCAACATGATCTATAGATCCACATCACCAGAAGCTTTATTTGAAATACGTAACTTACCTAACAGCTTTGAACAATCAAACATGCCATAGCAGTAGCCAGGGTTTGTAATTTTTATTGTTAGAATTATTATCTATATAATATAGTAAAAATTTTTTAGAATGAATACTTATAAAAAAATTTCCTAACAATTACAATTTATAAATCTACTAATAGAAGTCAACAAAATAATGATTCGTTCCTAATTAAAGTCTGAGTTGATCTATATATTCACGAAAATTGCACTCTTAAAACTACTGAAAAGGGATTTTTTAAAACATTTTGATCTATTCTTAGTAACGTCATACTTTATTCTAGCTGTACCGTACGTTGATACTATCGATAAATAATCTCATTCTGTATGTCGATTATGTAAATTAAACCCTTACCTATTAATTATATCATTTTGCTAGTTGGATAGTATATAATAAGATGTCTAACAACTTTTCTTTAACAGTATTCAAATCCAATTTCCTCAAAGTAAAAAAAGTAATATTGATAGGAGGACCGGATGATGGTGTTATTACACCTTGGCAATCCAGGTTCGTCAAAGTATTAACAAAGTATCATCGTATAACAATATTATCATATTTAAACTATTTTCTGTATTTTACTTTATATTTGGGTATAGCCAATTTGGATTTTATGACAAACATTTGAAAATCGTAAACTACAAAAATCAAGAGGCAAGATGCCATCTATTCTACCCTAATTTGATCTTAAATCTGAATTTATATCTAATTTGACACAGATACACCTATACTCGTAAACTTGTCATCATTGCTTATAGCATGTTATTTTTTTCAATAGATTTACATCAAGGATTTTATTGGACTAAGATCTATCGATAAAAGGAACGATCTACATTTATTTACTATTGGTGGTGTTAAGCATAAGAATTGGCATACAAATGCGACAGTATTCAACTGTTGTATAAGACCTTTCTTAAAGTAATTTTAATCAAGCAAGAATTGGGAAGCATTCAAAAGCTTCGTTTTAAATCACAATTTTGTAATTGATGATCTAACTTCGTTTAGAGGGATTCTAAAGTCTCATACTCTTGGTTGATCGTATTGACAGTATGTGTTTATTTTTACTTGATAACGTTCTGGCTATTGAAATTCTTTCAGTAAGAGTTTTCTCTTGGTAGCAGTTTTATTAATAATTTTCCAATACAGTAGGCTGATTACTTATGCCTACTGCATTATTTTATGGAATTAGTGTTTTAAAAAGTTTAGCTGTAAGAAATTTTAACTTCAGATTGTCACATATTAATTTCTTTTGAAACTATGCTTTAAAATAGCCTCTTATTAAATCTAGCTACTAGATCGAGATCATGTTAATATAATAGTGTATTTACTGTAAAATAGGAAAACTCCATTTTTCTATGTCCTAACGATCACTAAATTAGAGTTGCGATGTTATTACTGCCATATAAGGAGGTATCAGCCTTTTCATCGTTTACTGTACCCCACGGCAAAAGATATCTTTAATATCTATCGATGATTTTAACAAAATAAGATTAAAAATGTCCTGTTACGGTACTTTGTACAATCACATATTTATGTTATACTATAAGGAATTTACAAGCTCTTTCGTGTTTGATCGTAAAAGCAAGTAATAAATCGAAGAAGATTTCTTTGCGATGTGCGATGAATCTATACTGAAATTATTTTATGCGTGTGGATACCCATTGCCTTGTACTTAGAATGATGTAGGGTGGTAGTCTCTTCAGCTTTGTTTACGCGTAATAATATGATGCATTATTATTCGTTTATTACGTCAGGTGACGTTTGATCAGGTAACTCTTTGTTATAAATTGAACAAGTAAAAAATGTTAGCAAAATCTTAATTCTTAGCTGGTGTTACAGAATTAGTTATTTAGCTATAGTTAAGCTGACAATGTTAAAAGCGTAAGTTATCCACAATAATAAAGTCCAATAGGAGATCAATTAGATGTGATACAGTATAATGATAAATGTGAGGATAAAACCACAAAATTCTTATCCAAAGGCAATTTCATAATATAATTAATCCAGTTTGTAGATTATGTAAGCATATTGCGCGTACTTCATAAAGCAACTGCAGGCGATGCAATGATAATAATCTGTACTCTAAATAAGCAACGATATAAAGTATTCTTGAAATATAATTTACAAAATTTTAGATGACATTACTATTCAATTATTTCCTGTTATAGAAGCACAAAATGATAAATAATAAGCACTTGTGTTGATATTAATTATAAATATTGATCATTTTAAGAGGCGTGCGACAAAAGTGCACAGATTAGAAGTATAAGCACGATTCGGTATCATTTAGTCCATTACTATTCTTTATGGTAATCTTAGTCATGTATCAGAATCGCCAACGGTGAGTAGGTCTGCTATCACTTTGTATTTAATCAATTTGATAAATATCGAATAGAAATTAAAATCACTCTACATTATTGATGTAGTATACATTTTGGAGAAGCTATCCCTTTCTTCACACCGGTGTAACAAAATATATAATTATTGACGATTAATTAATTTAGGATATGCATGTACCGTATAATCTTATCAATATTATCATGAATCGATATGCGACTTCCTGAGAGGAGACTTGGACTTGACGTAGGTTATTGCGGCTATCTCCTATTAAGGTGAATATGCGATAAGAAATGGGTCAGAAGTTGCTCTATCTTGATAATATACAATGCATAGTAACGGATACACAAAATCCGCTATTTTTATCGATAGAGTTAGTTTAAAGCTCTGGATTGGTCAAAGTATTATCTAATGCCTCAATTACCTTACAGAATTCTTCTAATACGATCGTACCTTCCAATAAATCTTTGTTTACGGGGCTGCGATATTTAAATTTGGTTTTATTGTAAAATTTTATCTAAGTAATATCTAACGATTTTTCTTATGATGTAAGATTACGTAATATCACTACCATACACTGTGCTACATACCTATTGGTGTTTGGTAATTCACTTCCTAGTAATGACTGCCTTGAAATATGAACCATTTTCTTAAACTCAGGTATTCTAGCAATACGTTTTTGTAATTCGTTCACAATCTATCGCAACGGGAGATAAATAAAGTTTATCGTTTATATACTATAGTAATTAAAAAAATACGAAGCATAATTTATACCTGCTGCAGCACAGTGTACAGTGATCGGCTACCATCTTTTAATGGAAGTAATGGATCCAACATATATTCATGTAAGTAGGGGTGGTGAAACTGAACAATTACTGAGATTACAGAGGTGACTTGTAAATTCACTTCATAAGGCTATATGCAAGAATTTAACAAAAACTGTGAGCGTACTATATAACATATCATAAATATTGCCAATTTTTATGAATACTTACTTGATCTAATATTCTTTGCAATTTATTAAATAAAACATTTAAAAATTCCCCTTCATAAAATTCATCACTCTCATTCAGGTTGATGCTAGAAATAATCTCATGGGGCCAGCTCCACGTAATGGATTGAATGGTTCGACTAGTATGCTAAATAAATAAATTTAATACAAAAAATAAATACTACATTTAGCATTGTTTAAAGATTATTTCACTTATATTGTGCAAGGTACAATACCTGTCGGTAAGCATCTTTCAAATATGTTTCATATTCGTCTTGACTTCCATCGGAAGACTTGGTTAAATCAGGCATTAAGGATAAGAAGCAATTGACGACTTTCTGGGTATATTCTTCGTCCTGTCCGTTGTTGCCCTCTAATGAGTTATTTATTAATGCTATCTTGGCGAAGCTGTGGACATTGCTCGATAAGTCATAGTAACTACGTTTAATGACATTGCGGATTATAAGGTTATCTAAAATATATTGATCCGGTTTTTGCAGTAATACTTCGAAAAGCTTCATGGACGCCGCACTAATCTGGATATTGTTTATAGAAAAAGACACACAACGAAATAAAAATTCTAACTCAGTCAATAGGATACAACGGCTGACATTTTTTTACTTTTTCATTTAAGTGGTCACATCGATGAATCATCTTGTGTCTTAATTGATTTTCTGATGGGCCCAGCCTTCTCTCCGGTTCCAAATTATCGCCCAAAATAAATACTGCAAACTCTGTTATTTGAGATCATAGTCGTAAGGGATATATCGTATTATCGTAATCAATAGTTTAATATCATATCCTGACTAGTTGTTACCGTGTATAAGATATTCTGATTGTATCAAAATCAAACAACGAGTTAAATGAGCAATACTGGTTAAAGTGCCCTCTTCAGCTCTTTCGATATGATAATAAAATGTTAGTTCAAATACTGTTAGTCAATAGATGATTTTCTAACTATTGCAACAATTTAATCTTACGGTTCTAGCAATCTTGGTTCAAGGATAGCAATTAGGAATTGTTCTCGAATAGATTTACCAACCGCCCGTGCAACTAGCTGTTAAAGGAATACGAAAACCTTTTACTATCTCTCGTATTGCCCACATATCGCAATGTTTTAAACTATGAAATAATTTTACAGCAGGTGGCGTTCCATGTGTTGATACTTCGATAGTCTTATTGAATATTTAGCTGCTATTAATAAAATAAAAAGTAAAGATATGCTCGACGACTAGATCAACTAACCTGATGTGCTTGTGCACATAGTTTGTCTAGAAAATACAAGTATGACAAGAAAGACAATAATTGCTGTTTTCCTGGAAAGTTTTCCCCAATTAATTCTTCTTTAACAGTTTTACCACTGTAACCGGAAATGAAAATTATTTTTAATATTTGATAACGTAACCATAAATATTATAGGACGATATCTTTATACTGTATCTTAGTAACTGTGTTCACTCATGCACTTTTACCCCCATTTAGCAGGACAGTTTAGTACATCATCTGGGGCTATTCTTCTAGGTATCAATTTATATTGTTTAACCAGATTTTCCGCCTGAAAGTGTCAGATATGCTGAAAGTCGGATAATGAAAATTTTGCAATTTACTTAATTGTAAAAAGTAAACGATATGGCTCTTACCACGACATCACAGAATCGCGTATACAATACTACATAAATAGCTGATTGTTCCGATTGTAGTGAAGTGCAGAGCATTAATCCTTCACTAGCCCTTTCGAAAACGAACGTGTCCTAGGGTATATAATAAAATACGCACTACTTTAGTGTATGAGTGCATGCGTGAGTTCTTGTACGATGTGATATTACATTATTAGCTACATTACAGCTTCAGTTTGGCTATAATTTTGCTTTTAGATAAAATTTTTACATATGATTATTGACAAACCTCGCTTTTACTAAGTTTAACTAATGCTTCGACCAAACTATGCCTCCCATTCGTATTTGAATCCATTAATAATTCGTCTTGGTTATTGTTTGGATTGTCTGCAGTAGACGCACCACCTTTTCGAGGAGGCTGTAGGAAATAAATAAAACGGTTTACATATATCAATAGGTCAATTTTTTGATGAAATCATATTAACAATAATTAATAGTCTAAGTAAAGAATCGAACATTAATTTGACTTAAATGTTACAAAATTCAAATTTGACAATGCAGAAGCAACTAAATAGTAACATAGAAAATTGATTTTTTCTCTGCCCATAATAAATTTAAGATACTTATTTCCACATTTTCAACGATAGCATTCCATCTGTTATATTAGGTATATTATACATGAGATAGTTTTGCACCTGTATAAATAAATCAACTAGGGAAGGATCATTGCGCACTTGCTGGCAAATAGCCCATACAAATTCCACTTCTTCATTCTCTGAGAAAGCAAGCTCAGTATTGGCGATCATACATAAAATTTTCTAAAGAAGAAAAGATATCATCCGTTTCTAACGTGGTTATAAAAATAAACACCTATTTACTAAATTATTGTAAATAAGAGTAATATAATTTAATTCTAAGTACATGAATTGGACCATGGACGTTAACTAATGGTAGAAGAGGCCTTTGAATTGTATTTAAGAGCTTAGTAAGAAAAATTAAAACGCATTGAGTCATACCAGGGGGAACCTATCGTAGAATGATGATGATTGCATTAAATTTCATTTGCAAAATACTACATCGAGTTGTTATTTTCTACTTACATTAGCTATGGCTAAAGTTACCATTGCTTTCAAGATTTTATGGCGAAGAGTATATTCCATGCATGGACCCTGTAGTACAGTAATAATAAGAAATATAAAGGGCATTAATTTAACTGTAATGTCCACAAGAAAAGACCATCCAATTTATTAATACATCTGTATATTACAATTATCCGTTACGTAAAACTTAAAACTGATTTTATGAGTTATAGCACGAGCAGTCCTTAGATTTTTTACATTTTTTACATTTACTGCCAGAGAATTTTACAAAATGAAAGTATCAAGTTAATATTCAATATTAATGGAGAATTAATATCGCAAACCGTTTCATCGCCAACACCTTCTTTTTCTTCTTTTATTAGAACAGTTAACATCTGTTGTAGGTGTTCTGGTATTTTCGTTTCTGATACAGGCTTATTCTCGTCTATTCAATCAGCAATAAAGACGTTAATATCAGAACTCTAGCGGCACATTGATTACGATACTATAAAAAGTACGCATAAGCGTCAAATTTAGATGATAGGTACCAAGTGTACGCTTGACAAACCCGCTAAAGGTTATTAGTAAGATAGATTGATTTTAACGATGATTCAGCCACAACAGAGTATACTGTAGTAACATGATATATAAATAAGCCTCTAATAACTAGCACTACATAGCATGAAAATTCTCTTCGCTTGCAGTAGTATTAATACAAGAAATCACAAACTATCTATCATATGTTGAGTATAATTACAATTAAGTCATTGTACAATAATTAATGGTACTGATATGATGTGTTATAGGGTTCGTTAAGGATAATTTTGGTGAGAAGATTACATTGTGATATTTTATAAATCTGTAATGCTTTATTAGAAGATCAGATTCCTAAATCTTCCTTTCTGTATTCTAACAAGACTGTTCAAAGGATTTTTAACACTTCTACAGTGTAATGCAATTACGTTAAACTCTGCAGCCCAAAATTACGGATGCGTACGAATATTTCTTACTCATGTGTATTCACAAGTCGAATACATTACCTGTGCATTCTATAAAATAGTTTGTGATGATCTTCCAGTGACGGATAAACTCCTCCTGAAGTGGTACGGTAGGATTGAGCTGGCATAAGGACACAACAGAATCACCGTGAGTAGTAGTCTATTATACAATAATGTACATAGAAAATAGTGATGATACTCTAGTACTCTGATCATCACATTCAGTAGTGCAAAAAATTAAATTAAGCTTATATTGCATCGTTGACAGTTGCAAAAACATACTTGTACCTTATCATTAAAAACTAATTGTCTATGTTCTATAGTATGCGCGTACATACAGTATGTTTAGATCATCAGATTGATCAACCGCTAGTGTAGAGGATGCTTCTTTAGTTGTACAAGTATAATCAAATTTTCTACATGATATTCTATTCTAATAAAAGCTACAATAACCAACTTTAAGCAAGAACACATCGTAGCAGACTTGACTATAAATTTTATGCTTTAATTAATCGCCGTCATAAATTACGATTTTACAGTACATGACTTCAAAGACTTCATGCATGCCCCCAACAGAAATCCGTGTAAACATCAGATCAAGTCGCTTTAATATATCAATATAAAATATACGTCAATCATGGAATAAAGTTTGCACATATTATCTATCCATGTACAGTCCTGTAGAGTGGATACCTGTAATAAATAATATCTAATTGACGACAATACTCAAGATTGAATCTGTTGTTGATGGCTGTATATTTTGACTGGATTGAGTGTCTAGTTCATTACAATAAATTGCTTCTACAGAGAAATATGGCCAATAAATATAAAAAGCCACAGTGTTATCTACCAGCCTTGTATAGTACTGTATAGTATAATCTTTACTGATGATGTTATGATGAAAGCCATAATTACACTTCTATATGAGCGTTAATCGTGTAAGCTTTAGGTTATGCAACAACTTACAGCTTCAACCGCCAGATGAAGTATGGAAGATAATCTATTGAACATGGTCGGTGATACTTGAGTGCTCTTTTCAATGTCCTCTTGCACGACCTATAGTCTAGATATACTGTACTGCACTAAAGCGCTCTTCATACGGATAGAAAGTAGGATATATGAAAATCAAGAAGAAGGAAGAATCACCGGACTGTTGTCGTTGCCAACCAAATCAAATTAAACTTGCGCCACCGAGCTTGGGTTAATATCCTGAAAGCTGTTTTGCTCTTTTACTGCGGACTCTTGAACTTGACGCTGGTGTACTGTACTGACAGTACAGTACAGTATGGAAACACATAGACTACTATAGACGAGTAGACAGTACAGTACAACTGTACACTGTACTGTAGGCTACAGTACAATACAGTAGTTTGCAGTACTGTACAGTACAGTACTATCCGGTAAACTGTACTGTACTGGAGTACGGCAAAGTTATTGCAATACTCTTTTTTAGTTTTTATTATTACCTCGAATTATATCGTTAATTCAGTTCTTACAGCACTCTATGAATCTACTAACCAGTCTTGAGAAACTACCATCGGTGAAAAGAAAATGTGCAAGCAGTCAATATTAATGCAACACGAAATACTCTACTCTTTTTTATTACCTCGAATTATATCGTTAATTCAGTTCTTACAGCACTCTATGAATCTACTAACCAGTCTTGAGAAACTACCATCGGTGAAAAGAAAATGTGCAAGCAGTCAATATTAATGCAAAACGAAATACTCTACTCTTTTTTATTACCTCGAATTATATCGTTAATTCAGTTCTTACAGCACTCTATGAATCTACTAACCAGTCTTGAGAAACTACCATCGGTGAAAAGAAAATGTACAAGCAGTCAATATTAATGCAAAACGAAATACTAATTCCCACTCTAGTGATATAGATTTGAAAACGACGGCTTTTATACGTACGCCATTCACGATTACAATGTTGCAGTGCTTCAATTACTACTGTTATTAGCTGAAACTACTACAAATGTATAACAACACTTATGATTAAGATTAATTATAATTATGGAAGAGTAGATTAATTAGTATACGTAGTATAATCTATAATTATCACGTAAAAAGTATTGATAATTGAACAAATGTAAATGCTCTAAACTTACATGATGTTATAGCAGTATTAAATGTAAATGTTTTGCAGATATTACAGTAGATACATGCTATAGCTACCTACTATACTGTACCGTTCAAATGTTTTACATAAATAAATCATGCACAATCGAACACTTTCGACATAATACTCGTATACTGTACAGTATAACACTGCATATTCATACTCGTATATTGCTAATCATATACAATCTAACACTTATAGCATAGTATACTCGTGTAATACTGCATAGAACTACTATACCAATGACAACAGCAGCCGAAAGGTATTTCTATGCTTTGCAAGTATTGGACTAATTAGACAGCTAGAACCTCATTTATGTAGACAAAAAACCATCCAAGCAAGATAGAAATTACCGTAAAACATAATTCGTTTACAATGCTTTAGCGGGTTGACTAAGCCTTAGACAAGACTTTACCGATTAAATCTAACATAAATGACTACTGCAGATTTAAAATGTGAACTTTAAAGTAGCAAAAATTGATACAGACGAACGAATTCGTTACAATTTTAGAAAAGTATAGAGCCAGTAGCTTTCTCTTGATGAATTGAATATTTATTAACTAGTAGCCTTACACATGAATAGTAAATCAACTTTCAATTCTATTATGCGAAAGTCCAATATCACAAACAGGGCTAGTACGCAGAATCTTGGTGAATGTCAAGAAGATTTCATATTAAAATCTTACTCCTAACAAATATATATGCCTCAGCTTGTCCGTTGCCAGTACCATAGATCACTATAGTCTTATACGCGCATCTTTCATAAACATTAAACTGGAAATCTGATGCAAGCATACAAGTGCACTTATTGAAATGTTTATGTGCCGCTTGAAAGTGATGGCACTAAGTCTCTACTCTTCAACTAAAATGTACGTGTATGTACATTGTGCATACCAATTCATAGTTCTGAGGTCAATGAACAAAGTATGTAGAATGTGCTCATATTCGTAGAACAATAATTATAATGACATAGTATCTCCATTTAAATTAGCTGTATAAGTAAGGCTTCAATGACGCTATTTTATACTTGATGCTCCCAAATTTTTACGCATATGTCAAATGCATTATTCAATTCAAGTTGAGTAATATTGATTGATATAATTCATATTAACTTGACGTAAGGACGGCAACAATATTGTCTTTTTCAATACGTAATATCTATTCCATTACGTTCTAGCAAGATAGAAGACATAATATGAAAGTAAGAAAGAAGTTACAGTTGATTATACTACAACAGAAAAATGACCTCTTAAATTCTAAATTACAAATATATCTGCACAAATATCAATGAACACACGTTAAATTTTCAAACTGGTTCTGTACAACTGCGATCACTACTTGATGTCGAATTTACATAGTTATGCTTTTAAGAGTAATATATGTTGTATACATTAGCAATAATACGTAGCGGTTATATTACCGTTTTCTGAGAGATAGTTGTGAAAGAAAGTTATTATGGATTAAGTCTCACACGTTAAGCATCGAAAACTTTTGAATTCGCTTATTACAACTTAAGATAATCTCTGAATTTGAAATTACAGCCCACCGCAATTACACATTTTTGATATCATAATTATACATCTGCTGCCTGGTTTCGTCCACCGTAGAGTATGCAGCTGGGTAAATCTTCTGTTGTTCCTCTCCAAGTTCGATCTTTCTGCGCGCCTGCTTTACATCCTTTAATTTTTGATCACGAAGTTCATAAAAGGACCATGTAACAATTTGTGCAATAGCACATCCGATGGATATACCAACCAAAACATTAAAACAGCCTTGACGAAAGTCTACGATCTTCATTTCATTATCGTTTGAAATTTTAATTTCGCCGAAATCTGTTTTAAAAAGCGATTTGCCGGTAACACTCTCAATCATCCAAGACCCTACCAAAGGAGCAATCGTTTGACCAGGCTTTGAGATAAAAGCAGCTACCCCAAACATTAGCGCTGATATCGGTTCCTTGCGATTAAACTGTACATAATCCTCGTCAATTAGGTCACTAATAGCTAGGTTTAATAATTTGCAGATCCCTTCCGTGAAGATCCTATTACTAGAGAGATTATACATATATGTGTCACAACCATCGTTCTGTATAACATCGATTACAAACAAATATGTGAGGCTTCCTAATTCCAAATTATATTCTTTTCAATATAATCACATACTATTTGATAAATTAGTTCAAGTACAAGATCTGTAAATTCGTAATAAGATATCGATATATGTACCTGACAATAAAAAGGCATAACAATCGAGGCCAGTGTGATCCAAAAGTAAGCATAATCAAGCCTATTATTAATTTCGTGTAGAACAACGACTGGACAATATTGTATACTCCATATCGACGACATAACGATAACAAGTAGATATTACTAAAATGCGGAACCACGAATGATACCCCTAACAAAATAGACGCAGTGATTGGGGATACATAATCCCCGAGAAGATAATGAAGGAAAAGTGGGAAAAAATTGCTGTTGAAGTGACAATGAAAAACCTGTAAAAATATACAGATAAGGAATTACACTCAGAGAGCTGCAAATGCTATAGTATGGAACTACGACATTTCGTAAAAGTCAATTTATAAAAAACTATTATGCGTCATATAGAGTTGAAAAACCTTAAATCAATGTATAAATATGGATGCTGTACGCAGCAATACAGTACATTACCTGCAATAAATTCATCACCGAAAAGCTTAAAAAATTCTTGTTAATAAGTACTTGGGATAAAAACAGTCGTACACCAACATTTTGACTACGACTTGTGTCTCTACTTATTCCTTCTCCCATGGCTCTGCTATAAAATGTAATAAGTATATGTTTAATAGATGGAAACCACTCATTATTATCAAATTTAGTAAACCGATGCGAAGAAAGGAATATCAACATTTTTATTATTACTGGAATAAACTTTAGAATTATTTATTGCATAGTTAGGAAGATAATCGCGTTGAATTAACGGTTTGAACTGTTCTCCGTAAACTGATAGTTACAACTTAGCTTATACTTTAGAATACGTTTTATACTTTACTGCCGGTCTAGTTTACACCTACATTACTGAATAATAAAATACTAACGTGGTAGGAGGTTCGACACTTTGGATATTTAATTTATTCATTTTACGATATTCGGAACTTAGAATCGTTGCACTGATGAAAAATCCGAACGCAGAGACTATTGTAAGGACGCCGCAAAAGATCTGGAATTTGACTAAATCGGTTCGATTCCATACTGCATAAGAGAGAAAAACTGTAGTAGTGCCAAGACCACTAAAGACAGAACAGTAACTGTTCAAGTACGATCTTCCACTAACAGACACAGCCAAATCTGCTAGTAATGCGTTAAAATTAAGATCTATGATCGTTAAAAATCCATCATACAGACAGAGACACAATATAAACTGTAGTCCAGGCCAAGCCCAACGAATCCATAATGACATAAATGATATTGCAAACAAGGGTCCATATATTCGAATGGTTCTTTACAATATTAAAACAATTCAAGAAGAAATTGTTAGAGGTAGCACTTTTTACGCATCGGTAGTTTACTCAGTTATAATAATGGCTAAATATAATCATTATACATATTTTCTTATTCTAGATTAAATTACCGCTTAGCTGCAGCTTTTAGTAGATTTAGCTGTGTAATATTATACGAAAGAAATTATCAAATATTACAAGTGTAGATATTTTACCTAACTCTTTTGAGTACAATCTCAGGGGATGCACCTTCATTGGCTCCATTACTTTGACAAGCGGACCTACGAACACGTAATTAATCACTAAGCCGATATATAAGGTATCTTCTTGAAGTTTAAGACGATGCTACTATGGTGTTAAAGCACCGTCATATACTAACTAATCGAGACTTGCAAGACTCACGAATCAGAAGTGAGTAATTGCGGTATAATTATACTTATATATTTTTCAGCGAAATTTTATCCCTAAACTTTGACGATATATTATTACTTTTTTCAATAATAATAGAATATCCAAGTTACAGTAGACCGGAGTATCAATATTAGTAGTGAAATCAATGCTTAACCTTAAATATCATAAATCAAATAGCACTCATTTGAAACTAGAATTAGATTGGAATGAGGTGCATTAAGACGTTCTAATGCAGTGATACTGTACACTGCAGAACATCAACAAATTTATTTACTAATATTTCATACCTAGAACTCGATAAGGATTTTCTATCGCTTATCCATCCAAATAGGGGATCATTGAGTGAATTCCATATTAAGAATATCGTCTTCATACGAATACATAGAATAGAACATCACTAGTTATTACCAGTAGCAAAATTTTAAATATATTTCTTAGAAAGGAACATAATTTAGAGGCAATATTGTAAGGAAAGTCAACGGATCCACATTTAAGTGAATCTTATATTCGAATGTGGCAGTATATGAACTATATTTTGACGCCAAGTATAAAAGAGCTCTACTATAGAGTGATATTATCACATCACTAAGAGGGTTACAACTTGCAACCTACATCATATTACAGTAATATACTGTACTATAGCTTTTCTAAATCAACTCTAGCGATTATTTCTATACTAGGCAGTCTAGAACCGGTAAGGATCATCGTTGATAGCTTAGCTCAGAATTCTCTCATGTAGGCGTCTTGACTATCAACATTGATTTGGCTACTCAGACTATACAGTATCACTTCTAAAACACCGACGCCATAAAAAGGAGTAGCTATTAGATCGACTTTAATAGCTAAGGTACTGTTAATGTTCTAAGTAAACACGTCAAGCATTGATACTCGTATACAATGAAAGATAGCAACTCAATTTTAAATTCATCATATATTTAAAACCATTACCAGTCTTCATTTGTCAATTTATAATATGAAGGATTGAGATCATTTATTCTTACTCAGTTAACGTACCTCCCCTATCCAAAAGGATACTTGATCGATTTTATATACAGTGATGAACAGGTCCACATAGTATATAATAAATATGTTATGAAGAGCAGTTAAGAAGAAAGCAATAGATCCATAAGCCAATCGAACTGCAGTAGAGTTATGATGATTACCACTCATCGTAAGATCGTCAAACAGTTGGTAGGGGTAAATAATAATAATTATTGATGAATTAATTATTGACCGTTGTCTTTGTAGCCAAATGACTGCTAAATTAGCAGCTACAGCTTACAAGTAATCCAGTACTGAACTGTGTCTGTATCAGTCAGGTTAGGTTAGAAGATTACTGTATAAAGGACTGGAACAAAATTACGACTGACTTTTAACGTCGTTCTGCACACTATAGTAACGATGAATTAACTTATGAATTATCTGAATCAAGAAAAAATTATTACCGTTGAGTACATGTTGCGAGTTAAGCTAATGTTACTTGAGCTGTATATACAATACTGACAATATTCTACAGCGTGCAACTGCAAAATATAAAAGTAATTTTGTAATACTCTGCACTTAATTTTCAATTGAATACACTTTCCTCTTCTAGATCAAAAGCAGTACGCGTAATATAGTTTCAGCTCGGCACGACGGTATTATCAAGTGTTATCAGGGTTTTGTATCCAGTTTCAATGGATTACTTTTTCAAAATTTTCTTTATTCGGTCAATTTTAGAAAGTGCATAGTAATCCTTCCACGAATTTGCCAGAAAAGTTTGACCCATTTTGCACCAAATCGAGGCAGCCTTTGTGCAAATTCAATCATTGATTGGTAGCATATAAATCCTCACTACCACATGCTGTAACCTACAAGTCTTGCAGTTACTTTTCTGTATTCAATAGCCAAGATATCGAACACCTGGCGGGTTGCGAGTAAAGGGAAGTCCGCACTCGTGTTCCCAAATTAGTAGCAATAAAACGTGCTGGGGAGATTCTTTTTTCCTATATTATTATGGGTTCATGCTGGGGATTTATTTCTATTAAAATTAGCTAATTATAAAATTAAAATTTTAAGTTCTTGTGGTAGCGTCTTGTTACTCACTAACATGGGTAATGCTGCTATTACTTTCAGTGCCGTATCAGTACTTACTAAGGGTGGTTACCGCCGGTATGAAACTCAATAATCAACATGTGTTGCATAGAGTTCTATATAACATTGACACTCACCTGAGTATCAAATCTTGATCTTTCATACTCTCGCTCGAGGTCGTAGTGGTGGGTCAGATTTCGGAAGGACGGATATAAGATGGGTCAATTTGGGTCAACTATATACTGAGTATAGATAGAAATCAACAACGCAAAAATGAATGGCCGAACTCAACGGACGTCTGCTACCATATCATATATGGGCTGGCCGATCTCAGTCGATCATGTCGATTAGTGATTGCAGGGATTGCTTTCATCTTAATAGGACAGCTAACTTGAGTATACTTTAAAAATGTGGCACGCTGAATTCTGGTCTGTTTTGATGATGCAAATGGTATACAAAAAGTTGATTTAGTTGCAGCAAGCAAATTCGCAATCCTTGTCGTTGATATTGTAGCAAAGGTTTGCGCTGCATTTATCTCATGCAAATTATTCCAGTCACAACATATCATGGAGAAAATCTTTTGGGAACTATCAACGAGTGAAATAAGTAAAATTGTAGTGATGCTGTATTGATTAGATAAAACTTGTCCAAGTCTAGTCAATTTGTTGCAGATTTTAAGATGATATCAAAGTACGATACTTTATACAGAGTTAAAGTGAAGTCATTGAATTTCAAAACCTGCGGAAAGATACCTGCAATAAGATTGTTGTTACCTAGAGGATTTCACCTGTATGGTAGCTATACTACAATGAAGGATACTAAGGATATTTAGAGGATATCGAATAGTTTATTTAGATATTAAGAACGAAAGAAAGACATGTATAGTCGTAAATCAACAGAATCAGAGTAGGCTAGTATTGCTCGATCCGAAGAGTATCTATTAACTTTATCCTAGAAGAAATAGATCATCCGTGTTTACCCCTCTCTTATACTTACAGGTATGCGCTCGTATGTTTGCTACAAGATTATCATTGCCTTCATATACGTATATGTTACTTATTATATCATTGTACCTACGTTATCTGTATTTGCAGCATGATTGTTATTTGGCAACGAGTAAAACGTCGTGAGTATACATTTCCCTTATTTGATTTATCATAAAGGCTGAAGTAAGTAAATGCAGCTTATTAATAAAGGGTTCATTAAAATTTGCATAAAGATATTCTTGGTAGCTATGAACACCCAAATGCTGGAATTGATCTATTGGCGTATACCGCATACTGAATGGCTAGGATTACTTATAACTGTATGCAATTATATGGCTACTAAAGCAAAAACCTACATGGCACTACGCAAAAATCTTTCTTTCATCAATCGATAGACTACTCAGTCAGTGTACTGATAGTGAGTAGCACTGTAAGAGGAATGATGTATACGTAGGTAAATATTGTGATCTCTTATATAATTATGATGTATAATAACTTCGAATTCACGATGATGGCAGGAATTATTCAATATGGAATTTATTGTGCCTCAGTTAGGTATAATTTTGTTCACGATTTCGCTCAACAGGTGCAGTATTCCAGATGTCACTCGCTATCACTGTATACGCATATCATAATTCTGTAGAGTGGCTATAATGTTAAATTATAACATTTCATACGATAATAGTGATTTATTTCGATCATATTCCCGTTGTTGAAGTTTAAATGGGCGTATTTGCTAGAAACAAGAATAAATCAAATCTGCCGCATACGTCATAATATTGTCATAGCAACCGAATCATTATTTAGAGGTTCAGAATTATCTGCACGACCGTGGTGTTAGAATAAGTATTAGCAATCATGTTTAGTAACGAAAAAAGCATTTTAACTATGCCCTACTGGCGTTGCATTCCACAATAAATAGATCTACCGTACCATAACGGAACTACGGTAGCATTATTTACTGTTACATTCGGGATGAATACATACAGTTATGTAGTACAATATTATACTTCAATCTATTGTTGCTGCTTGTTAGAATACTGAATAATCTTCGCATTATGTACATATAATATAATATCCTCTACGTATGGCTGTATATAGTGTTACCCGTATACAATAACATTTCTATACGCGAGTGATAACTTTTATATACGTAGGTAGGGAACAAGTATGCACTTTATAATTTAGAGTTATGGTGATCCAACCGGGTGTAAATGTATATACAGTACAGTATACATAATTTAAACAGGTTGAAGTTGGTTTTGATATTCGTCAGTAAACAACATACCTGTAAGAATACTGATTGAACTGCAGTTCGCCATTTATATACTGTATTACCGCGCTCGTTAATCATAGTCAATCTTCCAAAAGTAGCTAACCTGTATTACGTTCATTAGGAATCCTTACATTAGCAAGAGAGAACTTGATATACGTATTACACATATAATATATGTGTACTCATAACTTTCTGTAACACATGTTTAACGATCACGTATCTTCTGATTAGCGTCGGATTTCAGGACAATATTTTTATCAAAGTCGTCTAAATATCATAAGCTAGAGAATATCGTCAACTGTAACCAACTATAAATTTAAATTCCATTAATTGCAATTATAACAATCCACCAGATGGGAAACAGAGCATCTGCAAGTCATTTATCTGCTAGCAGTGGAGATAAAACTCAAGCTACTGGGGGATCAACGCTGTATGAATTGGCTGATCTACATGGTGGTGGCAAAATAATCGATCAATTTAGATTAATTTATCAAAGTGATGATCCGTTAACACAAAGTAATTTTAATCAATTCCTTCGCAACACTATAAAACCTTTTCTGTACAATGATGGTCATGGAAAACTGGTGCCTGTATCAACTCTCGTTGAAGAACGTGAAAATTATCGCCTTGGTGGTGTTCGAAAAACTAAAAGAAAATTGTTGCAATATAAGAAATACTACAGTATGACTCAAATAATTAAGGATCAGCACGACATTGATCCAGGATCATTAGGTAAATACGAAAATTAATAATACTGTATTTTACCACACGATGTAGTCTTCACGGAATAACCAGCCTGATTAAGGCTATATCTCGGACTTATATTCAGGACTGAAATACTTGTAGTTATTATTTTATTTTTCAGTTATCAAATTCAGTTAAGTACTGTCGTTATATCCATGATCCTGCCTTGAATAGCTATGCTGTACGTAGTAATATCAAAGATATTAGCGCAATTTTAATAAAAGGCAACTACAAAACTTGCGAATAGCTATGAAACTGTTCCGATAAATTTAAATTTATTCTTATGTAGAACACGATGAACATGGTAATCCGTGCCGATTAGTTTGTTGGGATATTGCTAGGCGAGGAAGTGTTGGCGAAAACATCGTACATCTTTGTCTTCTTTTAAACAACCCTTTCCATACGGATCTAGCTCGGCGAATAATTGCAGTGTTTCCTAAGTTGGCCATGGATATCTACCTAGGTGACGAGTATTACGGTAAGGTGATCATTACGGCCCTGAGCACAACCTGCGTCCTAATATTCTACAATAAATTGAATATTGTCAAAATTTTCAGCAATTAAGGTAAAGAATTACCTGAGTGAAAACTGAAAATTCATCTTTTTAATAGTAAACTATACCATATGTAGATTTGTGAATCTAAATTATAATATTCCCCTATAAATCATATTGAATCAAAAAAACCCTATGCTGACTATACCTGATTTCGTAAATTCAAGTACAGCCTTCCGTAATCAATTTAAGTTCTAATAGACAGATTTTACTCAGCTAGTATCGTAGAATAAAATAATCTTGTAAGGTACTTTTTTTGTTTAAACTATCAAAATTCGATTCATTTTTATGATATTAAATTTTAACTTAAATTTTTGTTTGATAGGTGAAGGACCTTTACATATGGCAATAGTTAATCGCGATTTCTTTCTGGCCAAATTTCTAATCGATCTAAATGCTCCTGTTAATGAAATTGCCTGTGGTAAATTCTTTTTTCCAGAAGATCAAAAAATGAAAAGAGTTAGCAATACAAATTATGAATATGTCACGGTGGCTGATGATGAGACCGATTATGAAGGGTAAAGAATAATTACTCACTATGAATTCCTTTATTACGTATATGTATACTAGCCCGCCATACATTTTATAAAAATTCCATTACTACTACAAATCATTAAAACTAACTTTTTACGTTATCATTTAGCTTCGCCTATTATGGTGAATACCCCTTAGCCTTTGCCGCTTGTTTAGAAGAGATGGATATATGTAAACTATTAATAAGGCATGGAGCCTATATTAATGCCAAAGATGCTAACGGAAATTCTGTTGCTCATTTGACTGTAATCCGTAACTTGCCAGTATGTATTAACTTTTCGTTTAAAGAACATTTTATACTTGCGTAATATGTCCTGGCAATTGAGTGCGTTTACAGTACAATAGATATTAACTATACTAAAAAACTTTACAGGAAATGTTTGACTTCGCACTAGAGCACGGTGCTGATATTTATGCAAAGAATAATCGTGGTTACAATTGTTTAACACTAGCTGCGAAGATGGGCAATAAAGAGGTCATACTAAATTATCTAAGTGATATTTTTAAATGTCAGATTGAGTAACATTATTAATATTAAGGTGAAATAAAGGTAAACTTACAACAATAAATATATGACCTACAGTAATATTTCTCTTAGTCCTATTCGTTCCCAGATGAAACAAAACGGTATTATTAGTGAAATATTATGACGGAAAAAATGCTTACTAATATATTTGTTTATAGATGGTAAAACATATATTAGAACTTGAGCGCAAGCCGTATTGGACATTTGGTGAAGTTTCTTGTGCAGCCTATCCGCTAAGTAGCTTAGATACGATAGACACGGTATTTCGATATTTTTAAAAATTGATATCCTTCAACATAACTATTTCTTGTAATCTGTCACGAATTACCGTAATTTAATCCCAAATTTCTTAATTGTAGGAATCTGGATTGGAAGGATCTATTGATCGTAAATCTGTTTTAAATATTGTAGTAACGAGTGACGTAAGTACCTAATAGTAAAACTTATCAGTACAATGCAATAAACAACTAAATCTAATGTATGGTGTAGATAGCTATCAGAAATAGTTGTTTTAAATTTTAAAGGTTTGATAATTTTTCGACATTCATAGAATACTATCTCATCGTAGATCATAGCTTGTCATGCTACGGTAATAAAACTGAACATATCTTTCTATAAAACGTAATCTGATTAGCAATAAGAACTAATTTCCGTAAGCTGTAGATTAAAATGGTCGACACAAATTTCTATCGTAAAAGTATTTCTTTGCTTGATATGAAGAAAATTTAAACTTTACTAAAATAGCCTTCTGTTAAAAAGCTAATAAAATACCTTATTTTTTACTGTTACTTCACGTTGTAGAATCCGCGACATCTAGATCTACTTGATGGTCTTATTGTAGAAATACTAGAACAAAAATGGGCGCTATTTGCAAGAAAGAAGTACAGTAATTTCATAATTGATATAAATCGTTTATTTTTTATAGTTTGCATCAAATTTAAAATAAAAGATGATAACTAAGGATTTCTCTAAAAATTTAAAGATTTTATCAACATTTAATCACCTACATCGTGTACCTAATCATTTTTAATGCCGCTTTTATTCTGAGGCCACCTTTTGTAAGTAATTAAAGATTACATTTTGAATCCTTTATTCTAACAAGTCGTAATATCAAATTTTACGAATTGTGTAATAAAACAATATGAATTTCTTCCTATTTAGCAACCGGATCCTGGAACATCTCATTGTGTCGCAAGAAACGATACACGACGAGACTACTTCCTATGCCCAAGAGTTGCTAATGGAGCAAGTAAAGTGATCGATTCCAAAGATATAGTATGTAGAAGTATCGAATCACGTTGTGTTATGTTGGTCTACAGTAACTGTCATTGATATTTATATAATTGATAATATTTATTTATTACTAAAAATTTTGCTCGGTATGGTTGCACTTTCTAATACTTACCAAGTAAATAAGAATAATAGCGAGATTCTTCACTTATTAAGCCATAACTTGTATACTCGCATTTTGTCTATAGGGCAGATTAATATTAGAATTACTTACTGCAGGAGGCAGTTTAGGATACCTTGGAAGCTTGATAATAGACTTTAATCGTCAAGGATTTCATATTGTGTTTCAAAGTTTGGTAAGACTGTAAATACAAAAGTTTGGAGTTTGACAATGTTATCCTTGTATAGCTCTAATATTTCCAATCTCTGATATTTGTGGTACCTGTGTTATATTTCATATTACTGACGATATTCTTAATCCAGGTCAATGCACCTACTAGATTTCTGTTCCTGTTGTCGTGTGCCTTGGTAACTATTTCTATACCTGGATTATTTATATGTGCCCTAACACGGTATGCGAATGTTACTTGGTTTTTGGCTATTATTCTTGCCTGGCCATATTGTCTATTCTTTTGTCGGTAAGGGTTGATTTAGATAAGCAATAAATAAAACTATCATGTACTGTGCTTATAATTTTTAATAGCAGCATAGCTTTGATTAACATTCGAGCAATGTAATATATAAAATTTTAAAATACATAAAATAGTATTTAAATATTTTATTTATACTGTACTTTGTTATAAACTTCTTTAACAGAGGATTTAGGCTAGTTGGCCCATTCGTTCTAATGATCGGAAAAATGATCAAGGGAGATCTATTAAAATTTATGCTATTGTATTTGATATTCTTGATAGCATTTTCTCAAGGTAATGTCCGATTTCATTAATTCGTGATGCGGTTCAAAATACTTATGTATCGATAATTCGGATCACAAACTTATAGTGCTCATACTATCATACTGATATATATATATATATACATATGATCAAATTGTATAATTAATGCAGCGATTTATTTTTTAGCTATGGTAGTTTCATTCGCCGGCACAGGGGGAAGTCGAATGTTTCTCAATAGTCCTCTTCGGGCTATAGAAGGAATGTTTATACTATCTTTAGGAGAATTTGAGGTTCAGTTCCATTATTATAATTAGTCTGATAATATAATTTTAGAGACAGCCTATAACACTCGTGAAATATATTATAATGTTGTGCATATTATAAATACGGGTATTAGGAAATAGAGCCTGAATTTGACAAAGCGCCCCATCCTATCTTTGTGAAGGTAATCAATTCTAAATAATCTTAACATGGATTATTACTTCATACTTTCTACTATAATTGCTATGCAAATTTTAATAGCAATAACAGATTCTCATGGAATTTAATTAGCTTTAATTTTCATAAAATATCAATTGCAATTATAAATTTTGATACGATGTGTTTAGAAGTAATAGTAAAACACGTATAAACAATTCGGCTAAAGTCATATCTAGTTCATACTTACAATATCATTTATTCGAAAATTTGAATATTATTTATTTATCGTATATTATTCTTGCTTCTATCACATATAGAACTAATAACTATCCTTGTTTTTTAAATGATATCCCTTATAAATTCTATCCTAGATTTTATTTGTTTTCTACGTCGTTATCGCTAATGTACTATTAGTCAATATGTTAATTGCAATGATGGGAAAAACGTATGAAACAACGGTTGAAACACGCAAAGAATGGAAAAGACAGGTACACTCATAGTTTTTGTTACCATAGCGCTTTTTGCTCATTCCTGAAAGAACACTTTGTGACAATACACGTAATTATGCAACTGTCAGTACTATCTATTCGTATATATAAAACGTAGATTCTTATTTTATACACGATAGTGGGCTCAAACTGTACTGGTTATTGAAACCTCAATTAAACCCAAACAACGTTTACAATATCAAGAAAAATATTCTGAAGCATTAGGAGATGGTCACGACGGTCGGGCTGTTGTAATGAGGTGGCAGCATGACGTAAGAAAACTATTTCTAGCTATCGCATCAAAAGAGAGATTAACTTATATCTTTGCAAATCTAAGCAATAAAATGCCTAATTTTGTTTTTTAGGAGATAGAAAAGAAAAGAGATCATAAGAGAAAAATTCGAAAATTAAATGAATTAGCAGATTTATTATACAAAAAGGACCTAGAAAAGAGAAAGAATAACAAGATAGCAAATACAATAAGAAATGCCATAAATAAAGGAAAAACTAAACCGCCAACCTCAAATCTCGAATCGATTCGTGGCAAAAATCTCGAAATGAAGAATAAACGTGCAGACATCTTGGCGACTGTTACGAATCCTGGTATGATTTTACAGGCGACAACGCGTGCTGGAGGCAGCCGCCCAGTCTCTCCACAGCAAAATGAAAATACGGATAATGACGCATCGCATCAAATTGTAAACCCAGAAGAAGAATAATTATTAAATGGCTCTTTGAGTGTAACTTGCCGATGGTCTAAACCATCCATTGTTGTTATATATAGTGTATTACACATCAGTCAGTCATTTGAGATACTTTGTTTTTTTGGTAGAGCATACGTAACTGGAAATCAACCTTTGCTGACTTTATCTTAGTTATTATAGACATATCTGTATATGAAAAAGGATTAAGTATTAACTATATTTAATTCATTAATCCAGAATATCCTCATATTAATAAACAAAAAAATTACTATCAACTCTTTAATACTTTAAGATAATAACTTCATGAAATCAAGAAATTATAAAATTAGTTTTCACAAAGAATGAGTAATTATGTTGTAATTTTCGAGATAATATCATAGTTTATATTTAGAACAAATTGATAGTGCATAGACAATTAAGCCAATATTAGTTAATTAAAGTAACCACTAAGTTTCTTCGCTTTCTTCTCCTGATAGTGCTGATACTAAGAAAGGTGAAAAATTTCATCATAGCATGATAATACAATAAATACGCAATTACGCATATAAATAGTTTAGTCGTCGAACTTCCTCTATTTCTGATATAATGTCTTTTATTACCCAATTTATTAGTCACTTATATACAGTTCGTACAGTTTTACGGAAAGAGTAAAGCGTTAGAATTACAATTGACAGGTATTTCGATACGATTAATTCATAAAAAATATCAAACTTTTAGCCAAGACATTTGGAACTAGCAAATTTAATATCATCAAATTTCGTTTATTTTAGGCCAAATATACAGTACTATGTGATGTTCGTAATAATTTGGATAAAGGGTTAAAATATCAATTATGGTATCTCTAATTGTCAAGGCCTTAATTGTCTTTTAAAAAGAGGAACTTAAGTTGATGTACAAAATGCTTAAAATAATCAGCATGTATTTATGTGACAAAGAACTTTGCCATAAAATAATTTTTCGTTTGGTCGTCAGTTAAAGTTTGACATTAAATATCTAAAATAGCGACACCGTAACAATCACACCCATCATCAGCGTAAATAAAAGTAACGGTGTTAAGATTCCCCAAACAGGCCATAGAGCATAAGTAAAACTAAAAATGAAAAGTAATGGAGATATACGTTAAAAATGCTATCGCATAGTGTTGGGATACAAAATGGGCATGTTCATATTATCCAATAACTGCATTGTAGCTTGACAAACAGTAGTAAATAACTGTTTACTACTTACCAACCAAAGGATAGTATAAATGACGTTGTTGCAATCGGTATAGCTGCTGGCACACGCTTCTGATAATCGTCAATTTTTAAGATAATTTTATACCATATAATTAGCCAGCAACCGATTAGTGAGAACACTACAAGAAACCCAGCACCTGCATACAGCCATAACCTATAGTAGTATTAGAAATACTTCTAATAAGACAAATTTTAGAGTTTACGACCGTGTACAGCATAGTATAGTATATTGTACATACAGTAAATAAGGCATATCATTCGTGCTTGCAATGTAATTGCATGAAACGTAATCATAAAGCATGACGTTATGGTTAAGCTATCAGCATTCACTTGCCCGCAATTGGTAAGTGCAATGCGCTACTTAATAATATAGCAATAGCATATATTACAGCATGACAAGAACCCCTAAATTATTAGTTCTTTTAGTTCACGATAAAAATATTGTGAAGGTAAACGTTAACGTTGAGGCAGGTGATGCTCATAAGAAGAAACTATACTATACAGAGCAGAAATAGAAAAATAATGAAATAAACCATTTTTTACCTGTTAATCCTCGGGTCATAACATACAGTTAAGAGGAAATCAGTGTACCGAAGGATTCCAAGTGCTGCTAAAAGCCAAATTACTGATTCAGCTGTTTTCCAAGCCGTCGATCTGGTAATGGATTGCTGACGAGCGGCTTCAACTGCATCATCTGGGTTTATAACTTACATGTCAGAATATGTAATGGAATGAATCAAGTACTTACAGTCTACAATGTACATATTATAACTTTGTGGGTATTTGAGTACAAGTTCAATCTTTTTTAATAAGTATATAATCTAAGGATATTGATTTTAAGTGCAATGCATCATCGTTTGAGCCATGCCGTAAAATTTCGGAAATATCTGTACTAATGCTGACTAGGCCGCTGCCGATCAGTTTATATTTACTTGTACTGCATCTAGCCCACAATACAGTATATCGTAAAGTATGCGTATAGTATAAATCATCGGCAGAAGCCATTCACATTTATTGAATTATATCCTGTATATAATTATTATTTATTATTACTGTACTATGTAACTTAATGTAAGCGTATTCTTTTGACCACAGAGCGTGACACAAGTACTATCGCATTAATATAATTTGATAGTTTAGCAGTTAATACCTTCGTTCATACTCTTCATGTTTGAGTCTTGTACGAAGTCTTTATAAGTAGTTTCAAAACGCTTTCTTAGTTTTGCTGAGCCTTCCATGATGCAGTTTCTGCAAGAGAACTCGGCAACTCTGCAATAGTGTACTGTATAGCACTCTACACTAGAGTTTACAACTACTAGCTAGATGGCGGAATTGCGGACGGCGGACAGCCTGCATTTAACAGCACAACAGTAATTAAATCCTTGTCACTATTAGTATACTAGTATACGGATTATACAATGTTACATGCAGACATGCAGTACTGTAGTTTACCTGCCGATCGCTCATGAACACTGGAATTCTTCGAACAGAATCAATGTACTACTGTATGCTATCATATCAATCGATCGATGATTAAATGGTGCTGTAAATGCCATATTGTAATTATAACACTGTCAATGTAGCAATGTATAACTTATCTCATAGTTAAAATTTTTTGCACGACATTTGATACAGTGCACTAAAACTAGAAGGATATGAACTTTTGTCATCATCTACTGGTCGAAAATTTGACGTGTTCTCAAATTTGTAGTGATGGATACGAAGTTTCTAATCTTATAAGTGATAACTCGCATCTTAAAGCACGAGGATTTCTTGTGGCTCGTTTTGTCAAGCCTCCGGTAGAAATAAAATTTCATCTTATAGTTCCTATTGATATCGAATGCATATTGATTGATCGTAAAGTTGGCGGTCAGATATCGTCAGGATTGGAGATTTATCTAGGGAAAGAAGTAGATCAGCTAAAATGGGCTGGTAAAGCCTTTGTACAGGAAACTCCATCAAATGTAGTTGGCAACTGTGTGCTTGCATTTATAAACGAGGCTTTTATTGGTGATAAAGAATGGCAAATTGCTAACAGTGGCCATAATTCACGGTGCCATCCTAACAGTAATTTTTATTTGAGAGGTGGTAGAGCATTATCAGATGTTCAGTATATTTCTATCAAAATATTGAAAACTAGCCAGTCTAGTTTAGCTGCAATTAGACTTATTCAGATATGGGGAAAGCCAAGCAAGAGCTGTGATAAAGAAATGGTTAAAAAAATGCAAGCAATTAGACGCAAAATGGAGATCGGATCGAATACCAGTAATATTACGACCATTAGCCAATCCCATGAGACAAATCTTCAGTGTAAGCTTAACAACGATGACGCTGATACACAAGGTAAAGTATCGGTACAAGCAGATGATCAAGCTCCGTTAACAAGTACTTCTCAACAACAACTAGTACCGAATGACTTCCTAGATTCTATAACTTGCGAAATGATGCATTTGCCAGTGCTACTACCGTCAGGACAAAACGTTGATCGAACGACGTTGGAAAGATGGATCAAAGATCAGTCTATTAAAGGAAAAACCCCATGTGATCCATTTACAGGCATTCCGTTTACGGAAACTAGTAGACCTGTATTCAATACGGCACTGAAAATTCGTTTAGATAAATATTTAGTAAATTTTGGCCACAATTTATCTTCAATTGGTAGAACTGTTGGCACGATACAAAGCAATGACCAAGAACACAACCCTTTCAAAACAGTAAAGTCAGTAATTGCCAATATGAACCGCGCACGTCATAAAATCAACGATGTAAAATCAACTCTATCGTCTGGTGTTACCTTTGATGCGAAAGAATACAGCCACAATAGTGATAATCAAATTAACCCTCCTAAGTGCTCCGTTGATTCCATTGGAATTAAAAGAAAGATAAACGGTTCTCCCATATCATCGAAAATGAATCTAAAAGCAACAGAAATTCACTATCAAGACAACTTGAAGCGTAATACAACAAACAATCATGATCCATCTTGCCACTTAGCAAAAATTCGTCGTAGCCTCAGTCAAGCTTTTAGTGCTAACAAAGTTTTTGATTCGGGAATTCAAGACGCGAAGTTTGCAAATGGGATCACTTTATCTGCATCCAATATAGTCCCTAATGCTGAAGGTAGTGCAATTCAAAATCTGGACATAATATCGGGTAAGCAATTATAGCTATAGCTAAGGCGTTGTGTAAAAATGATAACCTCACTGTGCCCCACGTATAAGAATTATAATTAGCTATTGCTGTATGTGCAGTATGCAGAATATTTTTAGTGTCCTTAATTTACAAATTTTGCCTATAATAATGCGATAAGCGATTGAAATTATTTTATTTAATATTATACAGAATCAACATATGATACCAGTGATGATTCTAGAGAGGTCTTGAGCAGGCAGACAGCCGCTGTTGAAAAGCAACATTTAATCCACACTTGCTGCGAATGTCGCTTTGATATTACAACATTTCAGTCCATATTTCAGTTAAAATGTTGTCATTTTATATGTCGCCCTTGCTTAACAAATATGGTAAAAGAATCAAGGGGTGAAGTACTCTGCAGTTTGTGTGGTTCCAAATCTTCTCGTGCTGTCATCACCCGTGTTCATCAGGATAATTTTACAACCAATTTTTCGTAAAATACTTGACTCTAAACTGCGGAATTGTAGGAAGTCTTCAATCAATCAATTAACAATGCATACTCTTAACACTGTCAGATAAATAAATTTATACATTGCCAGTCCATTTTCTATTTGAATGCAAGTATCATATCCCATTTTTGTAATTAACTGCAACTATAATAGTTGAGAGGATATATTGCAATACATCACTTAAGGTATCGCGCGCCATATTTACGTCTATTAATGAAAAGTCTTCACACGAGACTTTTGTGACGATCGGTATTCTGTAGGTGCTCAGCAATTGTCATTAGCAGATTTTAAATGCCTCAATCTGCTCACTTGTACACTGATATACGCTATGCGTTATGATAAATACCATTGTGTATATATACTTGTATAATAAAACTGTACAGAATCAACTAGAGATTGTCTGCGATTTACTTTTAATGACGATACTGAAGCAATAATATGTGGTATTGAGACCACAGAAGCCAAAAATCATATGATCATTTATATTCATAGCCGTAAACTTATACCGTATTTTAGAAATACTAAATCACCTAATATTTCATAAGAGTAGTATCATAAATGCATCTCGAGAAGATTTTCATTGGATATAAACACTGAGATAGACTTTGCGCTGCGTTGCCGCAATATACAAAATTTAAATGGTGATAGGAGTCTCTACGTTACTTCCTGATTAGCTCTTTTTTATATATTAATCATACTCTACACTATATATTATGGCTTTTACTTTGTTATGTTTAACTATTTTTTAAATATACTTTTAAGTTTCATTATTTCATTCTATACAGTACAGAGTCAAACTGTCTTTGAATTATTATAGTTGTAACTTTAAACGATCTCTACGTTATAGTCTCAATTAAATTATTATACAGTACTAGTATAGATTTTCAACATGAGAGATTCGAAGAAAATAACGCAGAAATATGCGCTACATTTACAAATAGATGTATTAATTTCAAGCCAATATAACCTTTCGATTATAGAATCATATTGTTTATTACTCGCAATTTCATACTTAGTTTTGAAATGTAGTAATGAAATATACACACAAGAGCATGAGTTGGTGCGCATAAGACTTTTCAAATTATTGCCAGCCGCTAAGCTTACAAATGAGAATTGCTTTCATATTGTTATATAGTGATAGTAAATCGTATAGGAAGGTTACTTATCAGCTTGATAGTCAGCAATTAGGACAACATTAATATTGAAGCATTAATGTTCTCAACTTTATCATTACCTACGTCATCGACACAGCTACTGATGCAATATAAGGAAATTAATCAATGTTTTTAAGACTAATTACGGGAGACATTAATTAAGATTTCAATTTATATTCTATTGCATTAGCAGGATTTACAATAGAGATCTCAAGCCATTCTTCTCGATTGCATCTTTCACGAAGCCAGCGGCCATCTGGCCACAGCCCCAATGTAAAGTAACGCCAGCTCCTCCATGTCCGTAGTTATAGACAACCTGTGATAAATTTCAATTAATTGATTTAGCGTTAAGAATAATGCAAAAAATTAAATCCGAAATTAATAATTATTGCAATCACTGGCGACTTACGTGTATCTTTTTGCCACTGTCTAACTCTCGATGTTCATACTCCAAGCGAACACTTGGACGACCTGGCCTCAAACCTGCCCACTCATCTACTATTTTGGCATGCTAATTTTAAAAATTAAAATAAAGGCCACATTTTGTAATTCTTTTGGAAATGGATATTATAAAAATTTATTCCTGAAGCTAATCTTAGTTCATTTAAATACTGTAAAGTATTACAATCCAATTCTCTAATTATAGTAAACAAAGGTTATTATCCTTACTTTCAAGCTTGGTACAATTTCAGTACAGTCATCCAGAATTCTCTTAGTAATGTCCGCATCCAGTGTGGTATCCCATTCGCCTACTTGGAAGGTACCACCCAGGATTACATCATTGACTCTAAAATACAACGAGAAATAATTGATAATAGACTTTGCATACAAATATATATTTTCATGTACGTGTATATTTAAGAATAAATATATTGGCGTTAGCACGAAATTTAATTGTTAACCTCTTAACCGTATTAGATTAAGGTGCATAAATCAAAAATCTCATCCACTCCTTTTATTATTATGCCATAATCGTAAAGCTGTCATCAATACGTAACTAAGGTAGCAGATAATTTCCGTTATTATTAACTGATTAGCTGATTAGTGCTCTAAATGAATCTAAACTAATGTAATGTATTCGCATTACATCCGAGTGAAGTTTAAAATTTAATAATATAAACGATTGCAGCCTTACATAACCGGATTTTATCGAAACATATAAAGGGATATAGATGCATTCAATAATACTAACCTAGGAATAATATAGCATAGAGTTTCGTCATCCTTTTCGTAACCGTAGAAAAATTTAACCCAAGGTGCCGATACCTAAAAAAATGAAATAGGAAGTGATTTGTTATAGATTTAAATTCATCATAAAGTTATCGTTGAGGTGAATTGCGATGAAATTATAGCAATACTAAGCCTAAGTATTCATGAAAGTGTCCTTACAGCAATAAGTTGACCACGCATAGGCATCATAGTTTCGTCTTTAAGTAATTCAAAAGCACCAAGACCGGGTGAACAAGCGAACACGTCGAAGTCGTTAGCGATCTGGATAATTAAAATTATAAATATTAGACCTTTTCATGCTAGCTGTGTCATGATTTCAGCAGAGATGTTTTAATTGTACAGCTCGTTTAGCTCAATCGATATTGTAATTCTAAATTAACATCGGAAAATTTATGATAGCGCACCTCGTCCATGGACTCAAGTCTACGTTGTACTATCTTTCCACCTCGTAATCGGAATCTAAATTAAGAAATAAAAAATTACGTGTGTAACCAAGTGCAATAGATATCTTATTATCCTGAAGCGACAGGAACAATTTTATTAATGTAATTATTTTCATAAGATAAGCAAATGATACGGTCGAAATGTATGAATGCACGATCTAGATCTTTAATATAAATTGTTAATACATTTATACTCTAGTAATGACTTTACCTGTCGTACAAATATTCGGTATAGATTCCTGGATTTACAACAATGGTGCCGAAATTCCAACCATCCCTGTCGACAGAGAGTTAAAGTAATCTTAATTTTTCCTTACTATTCAAGAGATGATTTTTATGTATGATGGAAAGGTATGATTTAATTGTATATGTTAATTATGTATGCTTAATTAGCTCTCTTGCTAATTCTAATAACTTAAAATTGGTTATAGCAAGAATGGTGGAACTCTTCGCGTACATGATAGTTTATATTACAATTTTTAGTACTACGATGTAAACTTTGCCGATAATAGTTGAAGTTTACTACTAATTAAAATAAATTACTACATGTTGCGAACTCATCTTATCATACGGCATAAGGCCTACCAGCAGAATTTAAATAGATTCTAGTCACTTATTTAATAACCGAAAGTAACTTACAAAAATTTTTCTGGAAAGACACTCATTTCTTCCGGAGTAGCTTTTCTCCAACCAAATAGGGTTTCAGCCCAGTGAGGTGGACCCTATTAATCAATATTGCAATAAACTATGATCCTTTTGTAAAATTTTTATGGAGATAAACTATTAAATGTCATTTTACAAATCCATAGTAATATTTATACCTTTATAATAAATTTATATCAGTACCTTGCTAATTTCACCAATTTCGGTAAAGAGAGCGTAACCACTAGCCATATTGACACCAAGCCTATTAGCGTCAGGACCATAGTAGATCTTAACTAGATGATCATGGGTAGCCTTTGTCCACTGCCTACAAGGAAGTGTCATAAATCAAGATTAGAAAACATTTTTCCATTTTTAACTTAAAATTTTGCTTACTAAGCTGGTATTGTAAGTTATTGTCATATAATTTCGTGGAATACTGAAATAAGAAGCTAAAATTTTGGGCAATATAGCATCAGTTAGTTAGATGCCTACCTGTAGCAAAGGTTTGAATCAGTAAACTGATGAATAATACGTATATAAATAAATAATTATTGTAATATAATATTTTAAATTTACTTTTAAATAGCAAACTATGCTGTGCTAATTTTTATCGCGATAAAAAGCTAGCCATTTTTTAAGGAAGTGAGTCTGAATTAATCAAACTGGTAAAATTTGATATACAGCTATTTAGAAAGCAAGAAGGTTTGTTATAGTTGCCTACGTAACTATAATTACAAATACTTGATGAAGATACTCTGTTAAGCTGACTTTAACCCTAAGTTTTAACCGATTTACTATTAAATGAAGGATGATAATTTTATACTCAACTCCCTCCACTGGGTACATAAAAAATTACTAGACCTTACTACCTATCGAAACATTGTGAGCTAATTGGTCTATGAAAAAGCGTTCGCTTAGTTCTGACTTCAAATTAAAAATATTTAATTAAAATATAGCTCACTTTTGTAATTCCTGTGGTGTACCCGCTAAAAATTCAGGCATAATAAATGCTGCGCCACAATTTGTAGATCCTGCTTTACCACGGATACGTGGACTAAAGTCAGCTCCTATCACAGTTACTTGGGCATCGATAAACTGTCTCTGAATGTTGATGGCAGTTGACATGCCTTCGATACCAGCACCTACTACGCCAATGCGAAGAACCATTTTTAATTCTCTTTTTTTCTACAGGAAAGGAAACGCAAAAGTAGATGATAAATTAAAATTATCGTGCGCTAGTAAACTTAGACAAAGCTACAAGTTCTAGCAGACAGCTCACGTTGGAATGGTGAGCAGCGATTAATGAGAGGGCAAGAAATAAGCCACAATATTGACCTTAGACGGCAGCCTCCTGCTAAGGATCATAAATAAAAACTTTGATATTACGATGGTCGATGGACTTTGATGCCATGTTCGGGACTAAAGTACGAAGTGCTTTTTGATATCAAACATCTTAATAATGTTTCTATACATAATTCTATCATTTACTATACTGTACTGCATAATCTTATCGCTATAGTATACTGTATTTACATCCGTATATTTCCGTCTCGTGTTGGTATACTGGTATAATAAATAGCTACGTGTAAAGTCTATAATTATAATTAGTAAAAAATGATAAATTAACTTTACTGCATGAATATTGGAACTAAACGGGTGAAATGCCTAATTGCCATATTTAAATTGTGAATGCGTGACTCCTTTCATGTAAATATTCCCTTCAACGTACATTTATTATTATAATTATTTAACCTATTTCTCAGCTGGAGTTTTGCTTCCTTCCATGATCCTCAGCATGGACTACTAGAAAAAAGTTCTTTTTCTAGTAGTCCTTATCCTCAGTCAACTTATGTTCATAAATAACTACTGTAAACTTGGTAAAATATTTCCAATTGCTCATGTCTTGTTTATTCGCTTATTATAATTTTCAACACTTAAATTGTTGCTGAGATAATGTTGGAGCGTATCATTAACAAATATTTTTCAGGAATAGAGATTAATCAAACCGGCTTAGCTATAATTTTTAAATTTTTTCTGCGTAAAACAAGCCAGGTGTTTATGAGGTTCAGTTGTTATTGTTCACTTTATATCGGTAGAAAACTGCTATTAGGTAGCTCCCGACGTCAATATAGATTAATTGCCATCTAGAGATATCTTTTCCAATGTGCATTGATATATTTGTGTTCTAATTATGCATTTTACTGTATATCAAGCTTGTTGAGAAACTGGACATTAAGATTTCGTGTTAATTTATTAGTTGTAGAGGAGTATTATAATCGTACGTGACTACCCAGCGTCTATTAGCTTCAGCTTAATGACGCAATACTGTACGCCTCCTTGGGCAGAGTATCAACCTAAGGTGATATGTTGTAAAATAAAACAAAAATCAGCAAATCATACGAGTTCAGCGCCTGTATATTTGCACACGTAAGAAAAATGCAGTCAAGCATAGTTTTATGTTATTTAAAAGTAGTCTACAACCCGCTCGCTTTTAAGCGAGCGATAGAGTTCTTACACGTAAAATAGCACGCAACTAAGTATATATATATTGCATCCAATTATAATGGTGTCAGAGGGTCAGACAGTTTCAATAATAAAACTTTGATCGTATGCTGTAAAGTATACACACAAATAAAGTGTACACTGGTTATTTAGTGTATGAAATGAAGCATATGCACACTAACACAAAAAATTTAATTACAAAGGGTACAACTATGGGACAGTCACCAATACTTTAACTAATATTTCCGTCCATCTATAGTCTTACTAAAAGTTCAAATGATTTGAACTAATTATCGTCGAAAGACTTTTAATATTGAAGTATATAGAATTATGCATACTCCGCAGATGAAGCGGAAATATTTATTTCGTATATACAGTAGTAACATAATAGACGATAATTGTAATTTTACTCATTGATTGACCTATCATATGTACAGACTTTACCTGCAATAGGGATCTTAAAGCAACATATTGTGAATGCGCACCCATCCGTGTAAAGCCATAACTACTGAATTTTAATTGAAATCTTTAGTTTAATATGATACCCTTGCCAATAATTTAAGTATTGCTGTATTTCACTATTCTTCAGTGTTGTAGGTAATAGGATCGAAGACGGTGTTATCATACTTTATAGTGATTCTTTATAGCAGAATGATTGCTACCGTACTCACCAACGAAATGTACAAAAGTTAAATACATCAGAAATCTATCTCAGGGATTCTTCGATAATGATATAATGATATTTGATTTATATGTTGTTTTCTAACTTACAGTAAAATCCCTGTAAGTGGTTAAAGTTGTGTAGAAGTAATCAATTTTTGATAAAATTGGATATGGAGTCTGTCTATATAGCTATTATTGGTTAAATGACTATGGGTACTTCTTTTCCATAGCATCGCCAATCTAGTAGTGTGACAAACTATTCTAACATTAGATTAAGATTTCTCGCTATTTAAATGCTCTAACTTTCGAATTGTATTTCTAACGGCTAGAAATTTTATATGATACGAATTAGCAAGTCTCTTAGCTATAAATAAATTTTATTCTGAAATGCATAAGGACTTCATCTTAGGTATTAATAGAGTCCCGTCGCAAACACAAAAGCCTTACCATGAAGCATTTTAGATTTATTAATACCATCATCATCATCAAAAAATCAAAAACATACTGGCATTTGTGAATCATACATTAAAATAACAGATTAATACAGTTACTACATATGTTTATCCTATTTTAATATTTTCATTCATTTATTCGAAATTAAAATCGGAAACTTTACTATAGCCTTTAATTTCCAATATTATTTAGACGGCAATAAGTTTCTGAATAATTTAATTTATAGGAGAATATGATACCAGATTTATATCATGATTTATTAAATAGGTTTCAAAAATAGATATGTTAATACTATATGACGGTTATAGTAATTATTGTTTAACGCCATATATTTCATCAATTGTTGATCAGATATTAAAGAGGAAATTAAATTATCGTATAACATCAGGTGGATATGATGTCGGTGCACATAGACTTTTCACCTAATAATTAAAAATTGATTTTATTTTCAATCTTGAGAAAGAGGCAAGCGGATAAAGAATATTTCTGGCAGATTAGCTGTCGATTTAACGCAAACGATAGCGCAATCGATTGATACCGTGAGATCCTTACTAAATCATTGCTAATTCCTTATAAGGTTCATTGCGAATTATTCGGTCGAAGGAAAATTTTGATAAATCCATTGTTGTAAATTTTCCATCTAGGATTAATTCGCTAATAGCACGACCAGCTGCAGGACTATGCTGTAAGCCGTGTCCACTGTAACCCGTAGAGAAATAAAAATTAGGAATGGCGGGATGCGGCCCTATTATCGCATTATTATCCAGTGTGTTTATTTCATAATAGCCAGCCCATGCAGATACTAACTGTTAGAATAAAAATTGTAGAAATTAATTATATCAGTTTAATAGGTGCTAACAGCTACGTTAACTTAATTTCGATCGTCATTATACCTTTAAGCCATTAAATGCGTCACATCTTGTTGCTAATCCAGGCCACACTCCCTCGTCAAAGAAATCATAGTCTACTTCTAGCTTGGAACTATCTTTATCTTTACCCTTTATTAAAAAGTATGACAATTATTTTAGGATATCGCTAATGTAAATGCAATACTACGGATCAAGCTAAGCATCTACGGAGGCAGAAAACTGAACGAATCGACGGGTATTGATACAAGCAGAATGAAGTACGCGTGTACTCAACAGTAACTTAAGAGACTGAACGCATTAAATAGTAAAATTTACGACTTGCTTGGATTGCGCTTGCAGCAAATAAACCTGACGTTTCTCGACGGAAAGCGACACCAGTTACTCCATCAACAACAACAGCTGGAGTGTCTACAGGTCCATCACGGCACTCGAATACGTAACCGTATCTCGCAAATGGTTCCACTGGTAATGGAGTTTTCAGATCTGGAGGGGCACCTTCAGCTCCTATACCAGCAAGTTTAGCTACTCCGCTCGACCAAGCACCAGCAGCATTAATGACTGAGCCACAATTTATCGTTGCTCTTTCTCCTTGGGTTGTTACAACCTGTATTTCATTAAAAATTTATATATGCTATATTCACTACTATAGTATAACTTTAGAAAATGTCATTAACATGAAAATATCACAAAAATATTTTTTCTCTACATTAATATACCGAAACATTATCTATACGATTTCCATTTCTTTCCATTCCTTTTACTTCAGCTTCAATATAACGTACACCCATAGATTGAGCTTTCTTTTTTGCACACATTAAGTATGCCCACGGGTCGAACATCGCTTCATAATCACATCCTAGATTGTCAAACAAGCAAAGGTCATTAATACGCATGGTTCATTTCACTGAAAGTAAAACGATGCTTGTCTATCCAAGATGAGTGTAGATTCCAGAAATCGTGGAACTAGGATGCATTGACCTACCATATGAGCCTAAGACTATATCATCGAGATTGAGCCATGGGTATCTTTCTTTTATTTCAGACGGCTGCAATATTTCCGTTGGTATGCCTAATTTTCTATCGACATGACATGAGATTATCAGCACATACAGCGGGTTGGGTCAAAGTACACGACATAGAGTAACCTCATTTGATTAAACATAAGTTGCGGTTAAATTCAGCCATGCAAGATTGTGCAATCTATTAACTATATTACAAAATGTATAACATATATATCCTGACGATGTATGAAAAGTAAGATCTAAATGATTTTTTTGCTAGTAACGCTCAGGTTCTTCTAGTAGCTATTATTTTTTACGCCACAACCAAATCTATACAATGAAATAGCAATATTTTCGCTAGAAATAAATTTAGTAAATTCCGACTAACTCATGAATTCCTTTGTATGTCGTAATTAGAGGTACCATTTTCTCTGGAGCCAAAAATAGAAAGCCCTTTTCTATCAATTGTATATCAGGTGGGTCATCACCTTCAACTTGTAAATGAGTACCAATATCTTTCAAAAATTTAAAGCTTTCAACTGACATGTAAATATTTTCCGGAATAGAATACTGGACACGTAGTGACCCAGCAGATAGAACCGTGGAAGCATAGGTATACTAAGTATTTCAAATAATAATATCAGGAGTCATTATAATGCTCGTGAACATTTAAGACCTTATACCAATATGGACTAATTTGTTCCGTTGCTAATTGAGTCATGACTACAGACATAACAGTCTAAATTGATGAACTTGCCGAAATCTCAAGTGAGAATTTTTAGGTATAAGAGCGTAGGCTAAGCTAGCTTATATGTGCAAATGTACATTGTACAGGTGCAGCACAGTACTTACTGACAAATCTCTTTCGATAATGCACATAGAGCTACCAGGGATTCTATTTGCTAAGTAAACCGCTGCCAGTGTACCGATAATACCACCACCGATGATCACAATATCTGCACTTTTAGGTAAAGCAGAAGTTGATGTCTGAGACGAATATCTAGCGCGATCGGCTAAGCGATATCCTTGTCCACTATTCATCGATAGCCTACGAGCTATCATTCCCATTGGGTTGTATGTTGGGCGTAATCTATGTAAGAACTGGCTTAAAACTCGATTCATTTTCTAGTTCAGCTGAAAACTCATAAACTCGTCCTCCTATAAATAAAAAAAATCAAGCAACAAATTCAGCTGCGAGTTAAGGTGTGTTATCGTAAGGTACTAAATCCTTTCCTGTATATTTAATTAATTAATATCAGCTATTAATTTGTACCAGATAGGAGATATCTGAATAAAAATATTATGTAAACATTTAATGACTTTACATTTACATGTACAGTACATTGTACACTACTGTACACTGTACAGTACTGTATACTGTACAGTACTGTACTGTACAGTACAGTAACAGTAGCACATTAAGTACTGTACTGTACAGTACTGTAGTGCAAGGATGAAAGTACTACACCTACTGTACGTACTGTACTGTAAGCTGACTCAGTATAGTGTTTACAGTATACTTAGCAAAGAGCGTATCTGCTTGAGCTGACCTTTCTATCAAGTTCAATCTGAACCAAGCTACTGTACAATGTACAGTATATAGCTCACTGACTACCTAATGTATACAGTACAGTAGTGTATTGTATGCTGTACTTCGTTGCTGTGCTTTACATTATCGATTAGTATTCCCGCCTGCAGCTCGCTTGGGCTAGACGTACTGTATAGCATTTTCACACTTACGTCGTAAATCGTTACGGTACCAAAATACCTTGTGATGATGAATAGTAGTTCCGAGTTCGATTAACTGCTAATTTGTAAATTTAATAAAATTAATTTTCTGCACAGTATAACACTATAACGTAATAAGCCATAATATTAGCAGATAACCTCGTGTGTAAAGCAATTTATCGGGTTAGTAAAGCAATGAAAGGAGGAGGGCAAAGTTTACATAGTAATACGCTACACCTACGTATGTATGATAGCCATGTTCTTCATATTTAGTTATTTTACTAATTAAAAATGCGATATGCGTACTTTAGTGGGCAGAAATCAACACCTTGTTCTTCATATTTAGTTATTTTATTAAATATGCGATATGCGTACTTTCGTAGGCAGAAATGAACGCCATCTTCTTCATATTTAGTTATTTTATTAAATACGCGATATGCGTACTTTAGTAGGCAGAAATGAACACCGTGTTCTTCGTATTTAGTTATTTTATCAATAATGCGATATGCGTACTTTAGTAGGCAGAAGTATAGGTTTTACTGTCTGACAAAGTTGCAAATTTTTTAAACAAAATAGATAAAAATACGGTAATGGCTGAAATTCATTATCTAAAACAGCAATAAGTATACAAATGTCGCTGTCTTACTTAACTAGCAATCACACTACAAAATCAAGTGGTATTTACAAGATCGGCATTCAATGAATAAATTCAATCTAATCACGTAGTATTACAGTGGTATCTTTCTTTCCTATCAATCATACATTTTCAGATACTAAGAAGAAACATTGTCTACCATTAGGTCAATCACCAACGGTTTTGCAAGTAGCAAACCACCGCTTAGGTAAATATTCCACAATTAAGGTTTGTTTAGAATACCATATTGTCTTTTACTGTAGAATATTATGAGATAAAACTTACGAATCATATTCGCTCGTTGCAAAGCACTAAATAGTATTTTAGAGTGTTGCCACAGTCAAAAAATAGAATATCGGTCTCTATAAATCAAACGTCTTTTCTTTTACATCTATCAACTATGTTTTTTAGCTTGCACCACAAATTCCAATGATTTGGTCTCTGCTCTACTTACTTTTGCATCAAATAATACAGTACTGTACTACTGTACTATTCTCGATCTTCAATGAACATAGGAGACGAACTTCAAGATTTCTGTATTGAAGATAATACGATATATTTGAGATTATAGAATTATATTGCATTTCGAAAGGTTAAGTAGCGCTGATTATAAATCATAATTTGACAACTAAATGTACCAATCGGAATATTAGAATCAGTGATTTTCGCTTCCGTGAAAAGTTGTTCCTCCTTGCAACGATCGCTTACTCATGTATACTTCTTGTTGCATTTTAATAGCCATTTCTGATAGCTGTAGTCTGTGAGCTTCTCTTTGTTTTGCTAAGCGAGCTTTTAGCTCGCGTATCTTTATCTCTTTAGCTCCAATGGAGTCTTCCTGCCGGTTACAAACTATTGCCATTTCTAGATCAAATAGATTAAAATTCATTTAAAATTAAAAATTTCGCGTGTAAATTTTCTTAGAACGAGTACTTATAATAAGAGTGCCTCTTTGTATTAAAGTATGGACCACTGAAAATTATTAAGACTCCTAGAGAATGGATATGCTTCAACGTTACCTGAACATTTACTCTTAAGCTGATCTGCAGTAGCGAATTCTTGTGCAGCTTTTTCTTGCACGTCTCCGAAACTAGAGGAGGTATACGTAAAATCGAGCGAATGATATAAATTTGCATAAGCTTATAGAAAACTTGCGATGGCGACTGCACTATGATCGTTAATAACGAATAATAAATTGCCGATATAAGAACTTGCTACTCACGCTTCTTCGAACGCATCCTTCTCACGTTGCAATTGCTTGTTGAGAATATTGATTTCACCTAGAGCAAAGTCAAGCTTTTCTGATTCTTTCGCCAATAAAGACTTTGTTTTGGCGTGCTCAACTTCTTCATTCTATACATAAAACGGACTAAATTATAGGTGTTTGCATTCACAAAACAGCGAAACCATATACAAATACGAGTATGTGTTTACAGTATATCGATCTGAATAAATACGGTATACATCTACTATTAGCAAAGTATATTATGTTTGATGTTTAAGAAATTCACCTCCAGGATTGTAAAGGATTATTAAATCGGCAATGACGATATACGCGTATAGCATTACAGTACTCTTATCACATTTTAACTTAAGGAGCCATGCTGTTAACTGTTTACATTGGCAAAAAAGGTATGCTGCTAATGTTGGACCTAACTGTACAGTATATAATCTATTCAGTTTAATACCAAATTAGGCAGAATAAACATGCCCACCTGTAGCTTCTCGACCTGCTGATCATAAATCTCTTTCGGCAACATACGCATGCTTGCATCACTTCGTCGAGTAGCCAGCTTATGTTTACGCAATGCACAATGTGCAATGTACATGCACAGTATATGCAAATGGTACGGGGCAACATAAAAACGGAGATGACGATATGTAGAAAAGATTTAGTTTACTAGTTAGTAAACGAGGAGTGTTAGAGAACAAAGCGTCATTAACTACTGAGAATTCAAGCCACTCACTAATTCCTGATGTACATTGTACACTAATGTACAGTACAGTACAGTACAGTGCAGTGCTACGGAAGAGTAATCCGGCTGAATATAGTGCAGCAATATCTACAGTACTAGCATACGCAGTGTACAGTACTAATGTGTGCATGATAAATTTGTTGTAGATTCTTAATCTATTTACAAAATACTTTATTTTCTGAAGTGATTAACTATTAATGAATTCAATTATCGTCTATAATATAATAGATAGTGATCTACGTTAGATCAAATGCTGAAAGGTTACTAACTTGCTTAGCTTTCTTTGTCAATATCTTTTGGCATATGCCACAGGCATCCATTATTTGAAAACTAACTATCTTGAAAGGTTTTGTACGCGCCATCCTATTGGTTGGCACTTGCAATTGTTGTAAAGATTTACTATTTGGATAAAATATCCCGTAATCGTCCATGCTAGATGAGTAGAGTTTAGTTATAACTATTATTATTGTTTTAATTATATATTTATATATTTATTCCTATTTTAGCTGTAAAGTACTAGTCAACAATCTCTGAACGCGATATACAGTAGTAAGGTACTGTACTGTACACTGGTCTCTATATAACGTACAGTACAGTGTACACTGTACGGCAGTGTGCAAATTAAGTAAAGGTCACGATATCCGTCCGAAACCCATTCAAGCTTCACTTCATATAAAGTACACAAAACATTTTAAAAAGCGGCGGGATCTATAGTTCTACACTACAGTACTGTACAGTACAAGTACAGTTAGTTTTGACGAAGAAGCGTTTAACCGAATGCTCTTTAATTACTAACAATTCATTGCAGTAGAAAATCGATAATGAAGTTGGCTACAAGCTCACTGTCGATTTTGTACGTTAGTTTACAATTCATGATAACTGTTTATAATTAATTGATTATTTTGCAGATTAGTCCTGTAATTGCAGATACGGCAATTACTATACAGTACAGTACAGTAAATACGGGTATACAGTACCACTAGATATAAATGAATAAGATAGAATAATCAGCAGTATACGCGTACTTTAACTTCTTTTTCAAGATTTGATTAATTGTAAGCGATCACATTTAAGATTACAATTATGATGGAAAGGATTATAATATCCGCGCAAAACCATTCTCAAACTACAAGATAGTTAAATAGTTACAAACCTGGCAGTTAGAATGGAGATAAAATGTAGCGAAATATGTTGCATAAACTACTGAAATCTGCGATCGTATTTGATCAGTAAATTTACAATATGTTTTTTGGCAAACATCTGGGCAGAATAGCTGAATAGTACCATACTGTACGTACTTCGTTAGAGATTTAATATTTTTGTATACAAGTGCAATACAATTTATGATACAGTAGATGTTATCGATTCAATCCGTTAGTGCCTTGTAGCCTTTATATCACTGCATGTGTTGAAACTGCGGCGAAGTCGAATGCCTCCATTTATTTTATGTACAATTTATAGTAATAGCTTTATGTGAAGGCTGTATTTTTGTTATCAAATTACCAGAAATCGATTAGACATATACGAGTAATGACTAGCAATGACCGAGGATCATCAGATTATAATAAGATCAATCGCGATAGGTTAGATTTAGACTCTCCTAGATGGGACCAACGTCATTATGTCGGTAGACTGAAGCACTTCTTTACCTCAGCAAATCCATTCAATATATTCTACTCTGATGCAGCGTTAGATTCTTCCAAAAAATTGATCAGCGCTTATAAGTATGTTTGGAGATAAATTACTTTTAGATACGTACTAATAATTAATCTTAAACTTAAAATAATCGTATGCTCTATGCAATATATGGATAATATCTTAAATTAAGATCCGTTCCATGACATGTTCTCCTTAATGCTGCTATAGGAACTTTCGCTTGTTGATGCTAATGGTATTTAGCAATTGCTAATTTTTGTTTGGCAATGTACATATACTTATATATTTTGTAAATAACTATTTTTAGACAAGGCAAAGAGCCACCAAATACTACTGTAAAAGAGTTATGGAAAGCAAAACAAATTTATGATTCCGCATTCCACCCTGAGACTGGTGAAAAAATGATTCTAATAGGGCGCATGTCAGCACAGGCCCCTTGCAACATGGCTATTATTGGCTCCATGCTAACATTTTATAAGTAAGCGTTTATAATATTGGACATTACCAGTATATTAAAGCAACAATATTTGGTTATTCTTTTTTTAGTACGTACTTTATTCACTGAGCTAATAAATTAAAGTTAACTAAATTCTTTTATTAATCTCTTTAAATAGATCAACACCCGCCGTTATTTTTTGGCAATGGATTAATCAGTCATTTAATGCCGTTGTTAATTATACTAATAGAAGCGGTAAATCGCCTAGCTACCGGTGAGCTATACGATAATTTATTTCTGGGTGAAATCTTTCCGTAGATGTAATTATAGCTGCTGCAGATATTGCAGAAGTTATTGATGCAACTGGCTAATGCATCAATGTGATTTAGAGCTCATATGTTTTTAGAGAACTTTTCTTTCCATACTTCTTCGCTACGACTGGTGCAGTCACTACAGCAATTGGACTAAACTCAGTAGCTCATGTAAGCCAGCTTTATTTGATTATAAATTTAAATAAAAATCGTAATTCATATCGAAACAACGCGTAGAATCTCGGTTTATTATATTATGCTGCAAGCCATGATATTGCAATTTAATTTAAATTTGACCAATAGAAAGCTCCACCATTGGTCGGTAGGTTTATTCCATTCGCTGCTGTAGCAGCTGCTAATTGTATTAACATTCCGATGATGCGACAAAAAGAACTGTCTGAAGGGATATTAGTTAAAGATAAGGATGGAACCTCTATTGGATACTCAAAGGTAAGAATTTATTGAATGCATATATTTCACTTCCTGTTAAATAAAGATTTTTCGGCAATTTCGTTATTAAATAAATGTGCTGTTTATAATTTTATGACAATCGGTATCTGCTTTATATGTTTATTAGATAGCTGCTAGGAATGCTATTGCTCAAGTTGTATTTTCTAGGATTGCTATGGCGTCTCCTGCAATGAGTATGTGTTACCATTCCACTTTTCGCAGTATATATTCTTACGGACAAATATGAAGTTGTCTTTTATTAAAATGTAGAATTCGTACAGTACGTACCTTAGTTATTTGCTAGGTATTAGTTGCAAAACTGCACTTAATAAATACAGTAAGATGAACGTTTAATATTATGTCCCATAGCGATATTAACGTTAACTGTATAAAAAAGATCATGAATAATTTATTTTTAACGTATTTACGAGTATAGTATGAGGTAATGCATATTTAAGTTAATATTTTCTGTATATTTCAAAGGTATGCTCGTACAGTACGATATCTATCTTTTAGTGCCAAGTATTGAACGCGTCAAACTATAATTATGTTACATACCGTATAATTTTTAAAAAAAGATCTCTATGCGGTAAAAAATAGATTCTCAGTTCTGAAGTTATCATTTCTTATTTCAAGTATTCAATTTATAATTTTTCATTTGCAAGATTGTGTATAATAAATAGGAAAGATACGTTACAAATAGTGAAGCTTTTGAAAGAAAATAAGTTTATGACTTTGCCTGTTCAAACTTAAAACTAAATGTGTTATTGTGCGTAAAGTTTTATCACCTATAGTAATGAATTTCTTAGACAAGAAACCCAGTATTCAGGTAAAAGATTGGTATTGTAGTTATGATAATGTAACTACTGCTAAAGCAAATTTTAATTTTCGATTAAGATTAGATTATGATATCTTATTAAATCATCGATTTTCGACACAGTTAATTCGTTAGTTTTTCACTTCCTAAATGTTATGTAGTATTCGTATTAATTAATAGGTAGCATTTAATTTAATTCTTTTGACATGACAATCTCTAGAGAATGCCTTATGTTCGCGCTCCTATACAGATTTTATTAACCGGAATTTTGTAAGTACTACATAAATTTGTAACATTTATCGGAAGATATCGACATTGTCTTCAAATGGTACGAGTATTTGTTGATGTGATTAACGGCGACTAAGTGCTGTTTTAATTTTCAACGGAGGCAAGTTTCTATAATATAATTAGATAAATTAAACTAAAATTGCTTCTAGATTAACATTTATGACACCTGCTTGCTGCGCGATTTTTCCTCAAGAAAGGCAAGTTGTATTTCTATTATTTTCATCATATGCATCGAGGAGTTTACTATATGCAGTAATACAGTAATAAATTACTGTAATCCTTCATTTTATGACATTACCTTATACCTACTTAAATAATATAGCAGTAACATAATCACTATTAGTTTACTATGCATCCAATTAAATACTTTACATAAGGTAGATGTTATAGCTATGAAAGTATTTCTTGCTATTTAGTCTTAATACTTGTCTTGTGTCTTTTGAACTCTAAAGTTCTATGTTAGTCTCTCACCTGGAGCCGGAATTGCGAAATCAGATGAATCAAAGAGGCGATAAGTCACAATATGTTTATTTTAATAAGGGTTTATAAATCAATTTTAGTGAATTTTAAACTTTTAAAATTTAACAGGATTGCACATGCCATAGTAATAGTTATAACAATCTGATAGTGAATATACGCGTATTAAGCTATACGTATATCTTAAATGTGTAAACTGTGATTTGCTAGGCAGATTAATAAGGGTTTTCCCTGGTTTGTGTTGCAATGCTGTCATCTTTACGATTCGAACCGTAGCCTGATACAGTACTGTATGTTAGTTATCTGGATGGATTTTATTAAAACCTTTTACGTTGCGTTGCGTTGATGTTGTTTGATAATAAACAATCAGACTATGCTGCTACTTAATCCTATCTTCATAGTCGATTACGAAATACTATTATTATGATTACTTTTTAAGAAAATTGACCTTGATTTACTATCATTTATTAAAATCCATTATTTACATTATATCGCATCTAATTACGGTTGTAACGGCCTGTAATCAACGCACAGTCATGAATATAGGTTCGCTTTCCGCACATTGCAGACACCTCGTGGTAAGTACTACAGAAAGTACACTAAAATCATACCGTAACTTTTGAGGCCAGAGGCGATGGCTACAGTGCAGTAGTATGAATAATTGAGTACATCTATATACTGTATACTGTACACATTTCGGTAAACTGTTTGTCTTTCTACAATATTTCGTGTTGTGTGAATTGCGAAAATCTTAAACGTTCATTCAGAATGATTGGATCAAGTCGATTATAATTATTATTACTAGTGCAAACTCCCGTCGCTTTGCTGCGTATCCGTGTACCGTACTGTATGCTGTACAAAAGTACTAATGTACTGTACACTACATACTGTAAGACGTAAAATAAAGTTACTATACTGTACACTGAGTGTACAGTACTGTACAGTACTGTACCATTATGCAAGAACAGTCGAAGCACATAGTACTGTAATAGTAATAACTTTGTACTTTGCCATCCAAAAGTTGGAAACGAAAATAAGCACGTTGTGCAGTGTACACTACAAGTACTGTACTGTATGCACAGTACTGCAGTTTCAGGCCCAGGGTTTATCGTCATGGATCTCAATGAACCTCTGCGATAGGAATTCTACAGTACAGTATGTTCCATCCCATCACTTATCCATTGCCGAAACACCGGTAATTTTGTTGTCCCTGCCATCACGATGCGCATGGCATCGTACAAATCGAAAGATCGGATGATCAATGTGTTAACCAATCGAATCGAATAGAATGACTATCTGCAGTTGCGTCACGTGTTATCCTTATTATAATGTAAATCATATCATAGCTAGAGTTCATATCATATTACTGTACTGTAACATTACAGTACACTGAGTACAGTAATATTACTATTATTATTTGTGCACATACAGTACTTTACCGTACAGTACAGCACAGCAGTTATGAGCTAGTACAATAGTGTACGCTCCAGTATACACACCATGGAGTTAACCTACTAGAATTAACTCTATGATACACACTTTGAGATTTTTTCTTTTGCAGTACAGTATGATAAAAGTTCAACAGAGAACCTGCACAGCGTACAGTACAGTACAGTACTGTACTGCACATTCATACTCAAGTTTTATACAGTACAGGATTGTACTGTACTATACAGTACACAGTACAAACTACTGTACTGTACAATGTTTCATTCAAATTTAAAGCTTGCTGTGCGCGGAGAATTCAATCATCTTCCATCTCGACCTGACCTGAATTAACTTCCTCTAAACTCTCAATCGAGAATTACCCGCACTGAGTGCATATAGTAAAAGAGAAGGATGAATAACGAACAAAGACTACAGTATCACAGCGTGGCTGATTTGGCTATTTATGGAGTAACATACGTACTTACTGTGCACTTATTACGTCGTCTAATGCAAGGTTGTAAGCCTATACAGTTAAAATTGGTCAAAATAGTTTATAATGTTATAATGTCTGCCTTCTCCTTATGGTGTTTCATTGGTGTCTCTCGCGCACTTTATTCCAATTGGAAACGTTATAACCTACAAGGGTCTCTATATTTTTGCGATCCAGAAGGCAAGCTACTCGAGGGCATGGATAATTATTTTTATGTATTTTATCTTAGCAAATACATTGAATATATGGATACTCTATTTCTAATATTAGCTCAAAAGTCTGAAATTGACGTTAAGTGGGTTTTGCATGTTTATCATCATTTTGTTACACCGAGTATTTCCTGGTCTGCTTGGCATTATCCAGTATCCAGTTCCTGGCTAGGACCTTTCAGCAATAGTTTCGTACATGTTATCATGTATGCCTACTATGCCACTGCTATAGTTGATCATCGTATTAGAAAATGGGCAAGTTGGGTTACAGTCATTCAGTTGATTCAGTTCACGGTGGTGTTAATGACAATGGTAGGCCTGGCTGTAACAGGTCGCATGTGCATGGGAAATATTTATACTTATGTATGGCTAATGCTGCAATATGCAGTTTTTCTGATCCTTTTCATATTGTTTTTCTCGAAAAAGTCTGCTAAGCAAAAGCTCTCTTCTAAATTGAAGGATGATAATACTGTATCTAAGAAAATAAAATAAAATAGCCGTTCCAGAGATCAGTTCGTTGAAAGTGAATAATGAATACTGCAGAAGCGACTTTCGGCCGTTGGAATCATTGCGTTCTTTTATATAATGCTCCTCTTAAAGGGCTATGTTGACCGAATGCCGTTGATTTATACTTCTGTGCTGGTGTATGGTAAACTGCGGTGGAGTTTAGTTTCACTTCAGTCTCTAGCACGTAGCTATATTTCAGCTACTTTACAGTATATATAGATTTGTATCTGTCAAAATGTAATGATACATGTTCGTGTGGTGTTTGTTTTTATCAATACTTCGATTAATTAATTTTTAAGTTATGTTCTATGAAGTAAAATATGGACTTAATAATATTTCTTGTAGCCGGGTATTAAAATGCTTGAGCTTTCTGGAGTATTTATGCAGCATTAACCCGAGCATTCATTTTTTACCTATCTGATTATATTATTGAAATAATCATTATGACACCTTTGTCGCAAATGCATGCCATTTGAAATAGTCCCAAAGGACATTTTGTAATAGCTTCATAAATCATGTTGTATGGAAGGCCCTGATAAAGTCGTTATAAGAAATTAGCTTTTGTACGCTATACGTACAGTCAATATTTCGATATCCAGCGTTAGAGCCATCACTAATAAACAAGTACTACGTCGTGTACGTGAAGAAGTATGATCTCCATTCGGTCTTTTCATTTAATAAAAGTTCTCAGCTTTTACCAGTACTGTAGCGGTTTTAAAATGGCAAATGATACAGCATATACTATAGCACAGTAAGTGTAGCCCTGTATCTTTGCAAGTGCACATATGCAAAGATTACAGTAAATAAAGGCAACAGCAGTTTGCTCTTGAGTTATTTTATTGTTACTGTCCATTAATATATATACGCATACAAGCAATTAACTAATGCTTGTCAAGCACTTTACTTGACTGAACCATGTTAGGTCCTAGACTGATGAGGACTACAGTATTAAAAAAATGTACAGTAGCGCCTAAAATGGATATTACAACATTTTTCTACGCATTTTATTAACTTATGAAATCTGGAAAGGAGTCTTAAATCAGTAAATGCTTCAGATATGAAAATATACCTGTAAAGTGCGGAATGCATAGAAATAGAAGATGCCGAGTTACGATAAAGCATAACGTTATCGTCATCGAATTTACTGTGGTTTAGTAGCAAAGTATTTACAACAGTGTTCATGAACTGTGACATAAGTAAATGTTTAGATTTCAGCTGTCAGATCCCAATAGTCTTATTTGTTCTTTCAAGTAGTCATCAAATGCGCTATCGTCCAATTCAGCGGCAGTTAAATCAAAATTGTTAGAGATAGAGTCTAAGGTCCTGTCGTAGTCATCATAAAATAGTGCCTGATAATAATTGAGCGCCAAAAAGTCACAAGGGATGATAGAAATTAGTTGATATCGTGTCATAAAAGCTCTATAAGGTTCTAACCATAACATGGAATTAATACAGTAGTTCATAAAGTATTTTATCCATTTAAAGTTTTAAAATATCATGGTTAATGTAATGAAATCGTGCCATACCTGCATTTTAAAATAAGCTTCTATACTGGCATTGAAGTATTCCCGATAATTCCGACAAAAGCTTTCTACGTCCTATCGATAAAAGTGTCTAGTCGTTGCAATACTACTACACCAAATATGAGTATAAAGTGGTGTCAATTACAGTAATTACCTCTAGTAATGCCTCGTGACTTTTTTCGTATTCGGCTTTCACTCGTGCTAACGCTTTTTCATTCTAGATGAAAACCGTATATTAATACAGCACGGCATCATGGACATACTTAATACTTCGAATGATTGCTGCAATGTCGTTAACTTAGTTTACTACGTGTATGACAAAGTTAGATTAGTAAGTTAACCAAGCCGTTGAAGCGTTCGTAGCAATTGTTTGAAACCTTGTATTTGAATACCTGTTCTAGCTTAACATCTTGCTGTGGAGAACGTGCTTTATCGATTAATTTATCGACTTTGGCCTGTAATTTTTCACATTCCTATATTAAAATGTTAAGAGAACATGTGGTCTACGGTATCCTTATACTGTAACAATACGAGTATAGCAGTAGCTACTACCTTAAATGTGCCATCGAACTTTGCAATAGCTGCATTTGCGTGGGGAAAAATTGAATTCAATCTTTGACGTGGTATAAGTAACAAAAATGATTTGCTTAATTTTCTCATACTAGACTTCTCTGTAACTTTCTAAGCAGTATCGAATATTACCTGTGGAGAGGCTCAGCAATAGTCTTCCGAAAATTATAAATCTACACAAAAATTAACATACTCTTACGAATTGAAAAATTCGCTGTCGTAATACATTCGTGCATATTGTACTTTAAGAGGAACTTTCGGATATTAAACGCTAATCAAATAGCCATGTCCATTTAGTTTTATAAAGTTAATACGCTACATTACCAATCCTTCAGCTGTGTGGTGTAGACTTTCCTTAAGAATATCAACGTCATTAGCCTAAGAAAAAATTAATAGCGTCACTTCATATTAATGAGAAGCATTGAGTAGATCTTAAGGTGTATTATCTAATTATAATATTAAGCCAGAAAAAGAATGATCATCGTGTCAAATTGAATAGTTCGTAAAATTATTACATTCCTCTCAGTTTGTAATAGATACTAACTTCAGAATCTAGAATTGATAACTGGGTTTATCTGATAGTGAACTAGTTATAAAGTGGAATAGTGCGCGCAATATGATCAAGCAATATTTTCTATCAGCTAGCCAACAGAATTGTGCTTACTAAGCGATACCAAATGCAATATAATGTAAATGAACTGATCAGCGATTATCTATTAACAGATCTATTGTAATAGGTTCTAGAAATGTGATCTGATTATAAGATGCAACAATGTACTGCATATATTCAAAAGTTTGCTTGTAACACCGTACAGTCAGTTCACTGTTTCAGTTCGCGGTTATGTCATTAGTTCGACTGTTTTAGCCGTCAATAAATCTCGCTATTACTAGCTTAATTTGGCTATCGCATTTTTTAATTGTTTCAAAGAAATTTCGCAGAGAAAGATCGAAGGATTATGTTCAACTTCTACAAATACACAGTCCGCTGGCTTTGCGTAGTATAAACTACTTTTGCTAACCACAATCACAGAACGTAATGTTTCTTAGAGTAGAGTAATATAATGATAATAAAAATGATATTAACATTCGGCGTCAGGAGTGTTAGTACATAACAGCTCATAGTGTAGTACTGTCCTTAGATACATGCGATAATTTTCGTGTAATGCTACTTATGGCTGGCTAAAACCTTTAACTTCAATGTATTGTATAGTAAAGCACCGTAGGAACAATCTAGGATTTAGTTTTGAATTTTAAGTGTAAGATAAGCAATAGTATTCAACAGACATTGGATTATTAATATGTGATGCTATAAGATTAATTAGTGTTGAATCACATTAGTGATTACATTAAGCACGGCATTTTAATTTATCTAATCTGTATTGCTTTAATTAAACAAGCTACTATCGAATGCATCCCATATATATATATACACTGTTGGGATGTAAGGATATTATTGAGTTATATTTTAAACATGAAATAGTTAATGTAATAAGAGAAATATAGTGATTGAAGTACCAATCGATCGTTTGATTTTCCAACGCAGCTATGCACATCGCATAAGCAGTCAAAGACTTGCTCTTCAATTTTCATGGTTGCTGCAAAGGAAGATAAAACAGGCATACTCATGCATCGTAATAATAATTTGATTTATATTTCGATTAGATTTACGTAATTATGAGCAGTCTATGCGATAAATTCTCATTTTTAGGTTATTATTCTAAAAGTACTATGCAAAGTGCCCAGAAAGGTATAATGCTAACGAATTCCACTGTAAATAATACATCTAAAGGTACAGCTAACAATGCTTTGAACCTTTCCCAACGTCAATGCATTTCTTGCCATCCTTTAATAGCTTCTTTGCACAGCTTTCCACGCTAAAAATTGAATAATGACACTTAAAATCCTTACAATATTGCAGAAGTCACTACATTTTATGCCTCTGATGCTATTGATACAATTAAAGCATACTGCGCACTACTTGCCATCATTGCTATTTTCAGTAGTAATATTTCTTAATATGCAGTGTAAGAACTCAGTGTATACTTTTATGGATAACTGCGGCTAACGAATATACTGTCATAGACTACTAAAAATACCATGATGTACTTTTAGTAGTCCATGATACTGTACGCTGTTTAATATAGTGTACAGTATGACTAAATGCAATATGCAGAAATTTACTGTATAGTACAATTACTACACTACAGCATGGTACTACTTTATGATTATACAATATTGCACTGTGTGCATGATGGTGATCCATTTACGCCTACACGAGTTTACATCACTTTACAACATAAAATAAAATAAAATTAATTTTATTACTGTGAAGCGACAGCAATTTTATCATTGTACTTACTGTTGTAATTCATTACAGTATTCATCTAACCGCCTGTCTCCCTATACAGTAAACGAAATTAAAAAAATTATTATGATTTATAGAGTGATACGAAGGTGGCATTCCTGTTCTATTTACGCGATATAAATTCTATCTTTGTTATTTATTGCGGCATTATCAAAAATTGTTGATTGGATGGATCTATGAATTGTGTTTTGGTCAGTAGTTCAGTGTTGCGAAATTTTGTACTGTATTATTTGGTGTTCAACGTATAAGGAACATATTTAGGATAGCCATCTGATCAGTCTATCTGTTCATTTTCTTTTAATTTATGGCTTTGTGCGGATTAATATCTTCACGTTCATTTGAACAGGTAATTTATTAATCGGGATTGTTATTACACAGGCGCATTTTCGTGCTGTGGTACTGTACAAGCAAAACATCATCTACCAATACAAGTCATTGCTATCGGATTTCGATTTATTAACTTACACCAATATAACGTTTGTTTAGAACAAATCCCAATTTAAAGGGCATACTAAAGCACTTTTTGTCCGCTATAATATCTCTTTGGAACGATATCAATTCACGTTTGTTGATAGGATTGGATGACTCTGAAATTTCTGAAAATTTCTCTCGTCTTCTGTCGACATAAATTGAGCAAGTCTTGATTAAATGAAAGAAGTTACCTTACTGTATGGCTGTGCTATACAGTACAGTACTGTGCTCTAAACTGCAGTATACAGTACAGTATACAGTATAGTTTAGTAGTCGTTTCAGCAATTACAGTAAGCCTCGGCGACGTCCTATCCGTTCCGAGTCCCAGTCTTTGAGGTTAGAATTATTTTATTTATTCTTGATTTTGTTTACAGTTGCACTATAGTCGTATTACTAGTGTACAGTACTGTACGATAATTTTCTGGCATTTATCGCCAGAAAATCAACAAAAATACAGTATTTCCCCCCCGCAACTAAACCAAGGTGCTAACTAGTACTAACCGCCGGCACTTAGTTTAGGTAAATTACTTGCTGTGAGGTAAGTACGGTGGCCCAAAATGGATAACTATATTCCAGAGCAGAATACAACAGTACAGTACAGTATGTACTGTACAGTACTATACTGTACAGTGTACAGTACATTGCACAGTACAGTACTGTACAGTACTGTACTGGTACTGTACTGTTCTGAAAAAAGAAAGAATTTTCCCAATAAATTCTTTCTACAGTACTACAGTACAGTACAGTACAGTACTGTACTGTACAGTACTGTATACTCAGCCTACAGTACATGATTGCATCACGCCGGTCATTCTTATGCAATGTACTGTACACTGTAATAGTACTGTACTGTACTGTAGTCATAGACTAAAGAAGACCTGGATCATAAAGTAGAAAAAAAAAAAAAAAACCCTCAAACTACAGTAGAACTTATTTATTTCTAGTAGTAGAACGTACAGTATAGAGCGCACTGCTGATTCTTACCAAGCTAGAGCAATGGCTACTGATTATAATATTCGATTGCTATGACTGTGACTGATAATGCATGTTCGAGTAGGAGTTAGAGCATAAAGATTGAACAGTTACCTTAAGGGTTCATTCAATATTTATTTGATAATGAAATGCTGTATACTTCTTTATTCGAAAGATTCAACTAATCAGCAGCAGATTTAATCACCGGATGTACTGTACCGTTAACTGTACTGTATTGTATACTGTACAGTGTACACTGTACAGTACTGTACCGTGCTACAGTATACTGTACTGTACATCATTATTTGACTACTACTCGCCACCAAATCAATAAATTCAACTGTGGACTATATACGTCTGATCAGTTCTTCCATTGATTGTTAATTGTTAATTGAAGGAAAATGTTTACGAAATATGGAAGTAGTCAAATAGTGAAAGGCATATTCCGACGTTGTGTTGGAACTTCTACTGTTCGGATGTGTAAGCCTTCAAAGGTGGAGAGACTATCACCATCAGAAGAAGTATTTGAGGCTGAAGACCGTTACGGTGCTCATAACTATGCACCCGTTCCTGTTGCCTTGGCACGTGGTAAAGGGGTAAACGTTTGGGATGTTGAAGATAAAAAGTATTACGATTTTTTAAGTGGTTATTCATCACTTAATCAGGGTCATTGCCACCCTAAAATTGTCAATGCTCTGAAGGAACAAGCTGAAGTATTATCCCTGACCTCTCGGGCGTTTTATAATGATAAGCTCGGAACATATGAACGTTATATAACTTCATTGTTCGGCTACGATAAAGTTTTACCAATGAATACTGGCGTTGAAGCTTGCGAAACTGCTGTCAAACTGGCTCGTCGGTGGGGATATGACGTGAAGGGCATCCCGGCAAATCAGGCTAAGATTATATTTGCAGAAAATAACTTTTGGGGACGAAGCCTGTCAGCAATTTCTTCATCAACCGATCCAGAAAGTCGAGGTGGATTCGGGCCTTTCATGCCTAATTTCGAAATCATACCCTACAATGACTTACAAGCTGTTGATGTAAGTGGTACAGTTTTATAGTATTCTGAAATATTGCATTTATGGATTTACTAATTAATTTACTGAATATTTCAATTCAACACTATTCCATGCTGGTATAAACTTTACATTCGTTGTGCTACACTGTATATGCCACGGTCCATGTTATATACTCTAATGTTATAAGAGTCTTTCTACCGACATCGACCCAGCCCCTTTCTTGCTTACATTTTTGAGTTATGATATAGAATGTACAATGTACATTTAGTTATACAGTAATTATTTAACCTACGTATTAATGAATTGTTGTGCACAATATAGTTGTACACTTATACCAAGGCAGTTAAGCACCTACAAAACGGGACTGCACTTAAAAGTTTTTCACTGTTATTATTATTAGTACAGTATATTCATTGGTCATATCATTTATATCTTGTTTTCATTAATATTGAATGTCATGCCATACATTCGCAGTCGACTTTAGGCGCACTTTACAGCTTATTGTAGTCGCCATCAGAGCGCGGACGAATCTGTTCTGTTATAATTCACTATGGAGATTGAGCGTATGTAGTAATACATGTAAATAGCATTTGAATCTCGATACCGTACAGCAAGGAACTACTACCTAATAGAAAAGATACCCTGATATAACACGATATCACACTACATCAATTTAGAAAGATCGGACCTTCAATAGGTGTATGTGTTATATGTACTGTTCTTATAATGTACATTAAAAAGTTATAAATTGGTTGTAAGTGAATATGTTTGAGGAAAATTAATGATTCAGCTCCGATATGATAGTACGGCAACAATATTTTCCCTTGCCTTTAACGAACATAAATCTAAACAATCTTAATTGACTTTGGATTTAGCAAGTGACGTGAAAATCGTAGAATCAATTTCACTAGTACTCGAAGTTGGATTGGTTGGAGTGTTATTTATGAACTTCTTGTGGATTGTTTTTACAGAAGGCTTTATCAGATCCTAATGTAGCGGGCTTTATGATAGAGCCTATACAAGGAGAAGCCGGCGTGGTTGTGCCTGATGAAGGTTACATTTCCAGTGTTCGTCAGCTTTGTAATAAGCATAATGTAAGACATTGAGTATCAGGATTAACAATATTCTAGCTCATACTATTATCGTACTTTCATGTGCATTACTAAATCAGAAGCTGATAATACTGGCAAACTAGTAATTTGATAATACTTACTGTACTTGAAAATTTAGCGACTGTGATTTCTAACAACAGGTACTCTTCATTGCGGACGAAGTGCAGACTGGTCTAGGTCGAACTGGAAGGTAGTACGAATTGTCCGAATTAAATTACAATAATATATTTTTATATAGATTTTCAGATATTTATGAAGTCTTGACTATATTTTGTTATATAAAACCTTATTAAAATGACTGACTCGCTTGTACTGCTACTAACGGATGGATAAATACCGTGTAGGCTATGTAATCTGGTATAGTTGCTATATTTTCTTACGTTATTCTAGTAGTACGAGTAAGCTCACTTTCACCTACTAATATGTAGATTTAACGTTTGCTTCTTAATGTTCAGGTCACGATAATAGTGTTCTGTCAATAGATGTCTTAACCATATTTAGTTTCATTTATACGATCAGCCGTTACTAATTTCAACTGCGAATTTCGGTCGTAGACGTCTATGCTGTGATCACGAAAATGTCCGACCTGATATAGTGACACTTGGTAAAGCATTATCTGGTGGTGTCTATCCGGTTAGATTTAACAAGGAGCTGTTGATTATATTATTATTTACTCACTTTCTATTCGATTACGTGAAATAACTTACTTTTAAATGCATATGTAAGCCCGCATACAATTAGCCCCGTTTTCTTTGAATTCATTTCATCAATTTATATCCATAGATTTCTGCTGTTCTTTGTGATGATGAAATTATGCTAACAATTAAACCAGGACAGGTATTTGCTAATTCTTAGCAAATTTTTCAGTTAGGCTGAGATAGGATTCATAATATTGCTATGCCTTAGACATGATCTTTCAGATGTTATTATTTAACTATCATTTTAACAATAGCATGGCTCAACGTATGGAGGCAATCCTCTTGCTTCTGCTGTAGCTATAACCGCTTTGCAGGTACGTTGTGTGTAGATACTAAGTCAATCGTACTGATATTTAGGTGATTGTTTTGAACATTTAAAGTTTTATTAGCTGTAGAATATTGTTAAGCTTATTAATTTTGCTTACAGGTCCTCGAGGAAGAGAAATTAGCTGAGAGAGCCGAGTATTTAGGTTCAATGTTACAGAGTGGATTACGGGAATTAAATCCCGATATCATATCGTTGGTAAGAGGAAAGGGGCTGCTACAAGCAATTGTTATTAACAATAAACAAGGTACATACGGAAACGTTGCTGTACTTTTATACTTACGCACTAGTTATGGATACACGATTTTCATCGTTAATGTCTTGCAAGATATTTATAATTATAATCATTATCTCGGTAGATATTAATGCTTGGGAAATTTGTTTACGCTTGCGAGATAACGGTCTGCTAGCCAAGCCGACACATGGTGACAAAATTCGATTTGCACCGCCTCTTGTAATGACGGAAAAAGAGCTAAAGGAATGTATCGACATTATTGGTGAAACTATAGAATCCTTCGCGTAAACCGGTGCAGCGTACTAACATGGCTCTCTTAAATTGAAATTATGTTAATCCTATTAAATGATTTTATGAAATAAGAGATAAGATATCAATATTCTATATTATAATTTGCAAAGCCGTTTGAATATCACAGAAATGAACTTATTTCATGACTGTTTCACACAATTTAGTATTAAAAGACACGCGTATTATGGAATACCACGTTTTCCTTCTTTAGGTAATTTAATAATATTACATGTACGTGGATCGCGTATTGCTGCAAATAATTTTGCAGTTCTTTATAAATTTCTTAATCGGCAGGAGTTAATTAAAATGCATTGTTAATCTAAATAGCAGGCTAAAGAAAATAAATCTTAGTTTTCAATTAATTTTGCTTGCGCTACCGATGATGAGATGTGACTTGTTCGTGCAGAGATAGTATTAGCCCTGCTCATACTTCCATTTATTCAGGTACTAGAATAGCTATCAAATGCATTACAATTACCGGTATGTTCTCTTGCTACATCGCATTCGTCGACAGCTAGGCTCTGACCTAAATTATCATCTATCCATATTACAAAAGGCTGTTGTATCGTTCGCAATTGCAAATGTGCATTGAGTAGCATGTAGATTTCTTCTCCGTTACTTCTGAATGCCAAAACGGCCGTTGATCAAAAACCTAAGTTCTTTGTAAAGTGCGAATACCGTAAAAATATGTTCATCGGGAATTTCGATACAAGTAGCCAAACGCTCGGCAAATTACTAGTATATTTATTTACATAGTAAGGATGGTAAATCGCTTTGTACACTTAGGACAGAATATCGGAAATATTTGCGCGTCCAATAATTTGTAGTGTGTTGGAACTCAGTATAAACGCCCATTTTAATAGCAAGATGAAAGTTTCCATTGAACTTTCATGGTTTCCAGTATTTCTTAGCTGGGCATCCATTCGAAAAATACTGAAAACGTGTGTAAATTAAACATAGTTGCTTACTGTATGTAGGTTGGGTTCTATCTAAACTTTATAAAATAGACCAGTATTCAAGCAGTCGTAAAGTAACATGAAAATGCATGCGTAGGAATGGCTGTTGCAACAATTGTAGCATTGTGATATGAAAAGAAGTCCGTAGTATTTCTACCTTGGGAAATAACGCTTGTAAAGAGTAAAGATACAGAAGTAGATATGACACGCCGCAGCAGTCTGGGATGATAGTAGATGGTTGATAATAGAAATAAGACTGCAAATATAATCTGATACTCTATCATCAATTTGAATGAAATTTCTTTTACCTTGTATTCTCACTCAAGCACGTCCTAGTGGTCCAGAAACTGCATTACTATTTACAGATTTTGTCGTGCTGAGTCACAAGTAAGCAAATAAGTAACCAATTACGGAATCTTTAACAGTATACTAGGTGCATCTAGTGTAGCTTGCATATTTTTGACAGGTGAACTACTAAAGGCGTAGATAAACGTTATAAAGCGCTTCTACTTTCAAGATATCTTACGAAATTGAAACTTTATGATGATTTCCTATATCTCATTTAGAATATCAAGAATTTCTGATATCGCTAAGCTAACTCCTACGAGGGTCAAATAATTTGTGAATGATGATTGCATTGTGTATAGGCAGAAACATTTTCTTCTTCTGTATTAATAACTACAGCTTGATATGATTAGGCTTTACTGTATAGCACCTTTGCAGTATCTATATATATAGTCATATTTTCGATGTTACTAAAATATACGCGTATACGGCTTCATTATTTCAGTTCCATATTTGAAGGGCAAATCATTAGATTGGCATGTTTAGGAAGGCAATAAGTTGCATCATTTGTTCAAAGTCAATAGATTAATCATTTAATTTAAAGTTTAGTGAGAGAATGCTATACATACTTGATACATTATATTACCCATTATTTAGTAAATTAAACGTTACCGCATTAAGTAAAATAGTATTATTTCTAGTTTTGGAATGAAGTATTGAATTTTTGATATAAATTATGCTTCCCTTCTAATGTAATGATTACAATTACCTGACCTATTTGTTACCAAAATTATTCTAAAATCCAATTACTTTAGTAGAATCGAGGATATTAAAAGCATTATATCATCATTTTCAGGTATTTTATCATAATGTGACGATATCTTATTATTAAATTATCGATGTACTTTGCCAATCTAAGAGTGTTTGTTGCCGATATTTCTGTTATGTAAGATTGCGAGTTGCATTAAATGACACTTTTACCGGAATATGCGACACAAAAACAACGACGATTTATGTAATCAGTCATTACCTTTACTGATGTAAAGTAATTAATCAGAAATACCTATACTGAATATTTATAAGTATGACTAAATCAGATATTTAATTTCTTGCTTCTAAGATCTATACAATGTCCAAAGAATATGTATGAACATCAAGAAACATGCAGAAAGCTTAATAGTTTCGATAATTTTATAAAGTATAAAGTAAAAATAAAGAAATACTACGGCATACTTTAACTTAAACCATTTAAACAATTATACTATATTTGAGATTCTGGTATAAAGCTAGTATATCGACTAGTGGATGGTTATGTTCTTAGATCTTGAGATAATACTATACACTATGCTCATATAGTTGTTTTTTTGCCATTATGATAAACAACTAAACTGATTACGAAAATGGGATGTGCTTTGGACTTATTTATTAACTTACATTCTGAGTTTCCTATAAGCAACTTCGAGGTGCCTAAGATTACAATATTAAACATTCTCGTAAATGCTTGTATAATCTTATCAATAAAATAATATTAACAACTCTAATAAGAAAACAGGAACGAACATATGACTTTTGATATATAAGAAATGGAATGAACAGGAAGTTGCTTGTAAATATTACATGTCAATCAATCTTGGTATCCGTAACATTAATGATAAAAGTCTTAAGTTGATCTTCAAGTGTAAGACCTAACAATCGCTTACCATTATAAAACTATTGCAAGTTTATGCTTAATTTACTATCTAGAAGTAAAATTTATAACTGTTTCTTTGTTATTTCAAGTAAAAGTAATGAAAAAGATTTATTTTTTGACGAGTTGTAATTGAATGAAATCTCCAAGCAGTTGACGTAACGGAGATCATAAGCATTATCAAATTTTAATTTTACTGTGTGTACTGGCGCTATGGTATGAATTAGCGCTCATGCCAAATATTCATCAAATTATGGGAAGAAAATTTCTTTGTAAATATCTATATTCAGTAGCTGGTCACAGATTTGATTCTGCTCATAACAAAATTTGCATATACAATTGATTCGAGTTTATAATCATATTTTTTATAGCGAATAGGAATGCTTCTATTTTTATTAAATTATATTAAAAAATTATACCTATTCATGACTTAAATTCTGATAAGTAATTATCATCGTGACTAAAATGAAAAAGAAAAGAATGCATACGTATTGAAACTGAAAACTTCTTAATATAATTTATTATTATTTTTTTCTTCATTGTTATACCATTCACAAAGCATATTGTTCATTGATGGTATTATCTATTGTTGGTTGGACAATTTCCGGGCCTGAAACAGTTCCTAAAATAACTAGGTGCATTTTTATTTTTTAACCTCTTTTCAAAGTCATGTATTATGTAAGACTTTTCAACTTACAATTAAGAAAATAATGATTAGTATTTGTATCGATGACAAGGATATAGCTTAACCGTATCTGCTTTGCTATTATGAATTTCATTATAAAGTAATTCCGATTTATTTTCGATTGCTAGATTATTTATTTGGAATATTAGCAACGGTTTTGGTGGATTTTTACGGTAACTTATTATTTTCTCTACGATGCTCATTGTATTTTATAAATCTAACGTTAGAAATATTTAATTCTATTTAAATGTATTAGGTTGAGTAATTTATAATTATTTTTTTTGTGAATATATTTCCAATATTACCCTTGATCAGTCGTCGGATAAAAAGAATTGTTTAACACATAATAGCGGATAAAAGAGGCGTAGAAAGCTATGGAAAATGTAAAAATAAATTCATATAAATAACGATTATAGTAAAAAAATAGTAATGATAAATAAAAGATCATAAATAAATATTAAGGAACCAGTCAACTTACTGTTTTGCATTTTGCCTGCATTAAAAGCTGTTTATATCTCAATCATTATTTAATATTATAAATTAAATTAAATGTTTAAAAATACTTTCTGCTCTAGTACAATGGGAAATAAAAATGGCAAAGTGCTATATTTAGATAGTAATAGTATCGATATTACGATAATAGTGTTAAATGCGGCAACAATAATTAAGAATACCTTCAAGATTACACATTTAGGAAATCAATACAAAATTGCCAAAAAGTTTAACACAAGAGGTATATTGCACGAAATGGAATCTCGCATTATTTATTACAATCTTTTGATACTTTTGTAAATACTTCGCCAGAAGCATGCGCTGCCGCTCTAAGTTTTACTACAATATCTCGGTCATCTAAAGTTTCCTGTATGTTAAACACTGTATCCTAATTCTGGAGTGAATCGGTATTATTGTCATAGAGGTAAAATCAAACCTATTTGGCTCTATGATTGTTAACAACTGACCACACCTACCTATCGCAAATACCAGAGCGCACCCTATAAGTAAGTTTTCAAATTTTTATGTCACACATGTACGTGTAGGTGGGTTTTTGGCATTAAATAAAAAAATTTAGGGATTTTAATTAATGTGAGGTCTATAAATTAGAAATAGATGTTATACTTTAAGTTTCCTCGAATATGTAACGCGTCTATATTTGACAATGCTCGTATATTTAAAGTGTGAAGGTTAAATTTAATGTAGTAAAAGGATATCTCAGCAGCATTTGCATGAATTTTGCAATATTTTTGAAATTGCAACCGATATTTAGTGTTATCAAGGTAAGCATGATCCTGGGAGCACTACTAATAGTACTTATTAATGTAGTAACATACTCGCTAATCAATCCAGATAACTAACTTCAAATATCTCGTTAACTTTAATTTTAAAA